CGGCTCTGCCTTCCCAGAGCTCCAAACACCAGTCAGTAAGGGAGCCAGTCCCGTTTACTCTGTGTGAAGAGCTGCCACACCAAGGCGCCAGCAAAACTGCTGCGCTGGCCACAAGAGTCGCACTGGCGACCTGTGGGGCTCCTCCACTAGAGATCTGCTGGTCTGTGAGCGACAAAAATTCGCCTGAAAGTGTGGCGTCCTCTCATTCTCTGAGCTTTCACTGGGAGCTACAATCCTGACCTGTTAGTGATCAGCCGTCTTGGATCTCTCCTCAATTAAATTAAAAACTAAATCTCAATTGAATTAAAAACTAAATATGGAAAAACAAACTTAAAATTATAAGAAAACATACAAGAATATTTAAAACCTTAGGATATAGAGAAATTTCTTTAATTAAATATAAAAAGCAGAAATTACAAAAGACCATATTTAAGTATAACTTTCAGACTTCATACTCTATTCCCTAGCCATAGAGTTTTACTTGATGCATAAGTTTTCTAGGGTTTCCATAGCAAACTACCACAAACCTGGAGGCTGAAAACAACAGAAATTTCTTCCACAGTTCTGGAGACCAGCAGCCTAAAATCAAGGTGTCAGCAGTCCTACGCTCTCGTAGAAGGTTCTAGAGGAGAACCCTTCCCTGTTTTCTCCAGCTTCTGGTAACTCCAAACCTTCCTTGGCTTGCAGCAAGATAACTCTCATCTCTGTCCCATCTTCACATGGGTCTTCTCATGGCCCTCTCTCTGTGTCTGTGACTTAGTCCCTTCAGCCTCTTATGAGGACATTAGGTTTAGGGCCACCCTTCATCCAGGATGTTCTTCTCTTTAGATCCTGAACTTGATGACATCTGCAAAGACATCCTCTTCCACAAGGGGCACATTCATAGTTTCCTGGGGGTAGGCTTTTTGGAAAAGAGGGGCACACAATTCTACCCACTGTATTTAGTAAGGATTCGCCTCCAAGAAAAATGGCTCCGTGACCAGGGCTTGCCTTCTGTCACAGACAGTCGGCCCCCAACCCCATGTCTGCCTCTAAGGTTTAGGACAGGATAAAGAGCCAAGCACTGGGGCTCTGGATGAGAGTAAGGAGGCTGGATGGCACCCCTGTCACCCCATCACGAGTCACCTGAGCTGGAAACCTGGATGTTGCCCTCAGCATCTTCTTCCTCATCTACCACCACCTCCAATCTGTCTTAGTAATTCTATGTCAGCAACACCTCTATACCCCAGCCTTCCTTCCCCTTCCTCACTACAGCTACCTGATTGAAGGCCCTCATCCTCTCAGCTCAAACCATCCTCTGATCTTCAGTCACCATCTCCCTTCTCTGTCCTGGAGGAAGACACTCGAGCCTCACTTCTTATACACAATCATTCCAGAATCTCATCGCATGCAACTCAAACATTAGCCAAGCACTTGATAGAAGGGAGGAAAATCTGGGTATTCCTGAGAGCTCCTGAGGGTCATGCATTCAGTCAACAAATATTTTTTAGGTTTTTTTTTTTTTTTTTTAAGCGATGGGGTCTTCCTCTGTTGCCCAGGCTGTAGTGCAGTGGTGTGATAACAGCTTACTGCAGCCTCAAACTCCTAGACTCAGGCCATCCTCCTGCTTCAACCTCCCAAGTAGCTGGGAATATAGGCACACTAATTTTGTTTTTAATTTTTGGAAGAGACGGAGTTTTGCTGTGTTGCCCAAGCTGGTCTCTCCTGGCCTCAAGCGATCAGCCTGCCTTGGCCTCTCAAAGCTCCGGGATGACGGATGTGAGTCACCACGCTTAGCCAAGACAACAAATATTCTTCACTGCCAACTCTGAGCCAGACATTGCTCAAAGCGAACAAGATAAAGTCCCTGCGCTCATGAAGCCAACATTCTAGTTGGAAAGCCAGTGAACTCTCACAGATGTGAAACTAGAATATGCAATATGATATAACCTCAGGCGATAGTAAGTACTACTGATAAACTTAAAAGTGTAAAGGGATAAAGAAAACAGAGAGGGGCTGCTGGGGAGGCCAGAGGGGGTCAGAGGCCTTTTTTTGTGAGTTTTCCAGAAGCTTAAATGAAATGAAATGATGATTTTTTTAAGATGTGGGGAAAAGCTTCTAGCAGAGACACCAGATATTATGAAGCTCCAGAGATGGAAATACACTGGATCTGCATGAGGAATGGAAGAAAATGGCTGCCTTAACATTCCCACCCCTTCTGCAAGGGAGCACTTCACCCCACCAGCTGCCCTCAGAGTGCTGGTCTCCAACCCTAGTCACATAAATTGGCCACTGACAGCCAGTCCTGCGCAGCTGGCCTCACCAAGCCAGATGGCGTGGCGCATGTGGTCTCCTGGTCAACACCCTGCACTCTACTCAGTGAGCCAGTGTTAAAGCAGCCAAAGGGCAGCTATCCCTGTTGACCCCATCATCATGGCACCAGGACACCAGGAAGCAGGCCAAGTCCATCACTGCAATGCAGGCATTAAGAAAAGGGTCAGGGGCAAAGGGGAAAGTCACGTTCACCTTGGTCTGAGAGTTCAAAAATTGCTTGTAAAAGTGATGAAGCAGCAGCAAAACCTGGAATCAAAGCGTGCACACATCAGCACTCTCTGCAGATAGCCAAGACTATCCAGAGGGCAGCTGCTGAGCAGATCAGGCTATCCTGCCTTGGGCATCACCTTTGGGTGTAAAGAGGCCAAAGACCTCCTAGGGCGTCTCCTTCCTGTGGCATCCCAGGGCAAGGATACGTTGGCTAGGTGGAATGGAGATTGACTTTAGCAGGAGATCTGATCAGGCTAGCATCAATGGCATGCCTCTGCATCAATGCCGTCAGCCTCTGGAGGCCCCAAGGATCACCCAGTCCAACTCTTCTCCTTACAGGCCTAACCTAACAAAGATAAATCCAGAGAGAAATGAAGTTCACTTATAAGCCTGATTGCGTTTAATGCCCCCAAAGTTCATTTTGTTCACATACATGAAGAGGAGTGTGAGCCAGGGTTCAATGAAAAGGGGGGGAACGTACATTGCTTGTGGGGGCATTAAATGGCATCTGTCTTTGAACAAGAAAGAAGCAAGGAGTCCTCTGCAAAGTATGTCCTACTTATACAAAGCATCGCAAAAATAGAGTAGAACAATGATCTTCAGCTGCCATCGTGCCCATCAGCATTCAAGGAGAATGATTTAGAAGGAGAGCCAGAGCACTGCAAAGAATGAAGAGATGGGGAGCTCTGGGAGGAGCATGATTATTACTCAGGATGCAAGTTCTCTCCATGCTTCCATTGCTTTATGAGTATTACCTTGTGAATCCTCACAAAAATTCAGAAAAGTAGTTGGGAACAAACACTGTGAAATAACGACACTAAGACTTGAAGAAGTAAGACAGTGCTTTTCTAAGACACTCCCAGACTGGTATCTTGCTTCTAGAAGAAACGACTGAGGTTATAATAAAGCTAACAGTTTGCGACATGTTTTAAATGCTGGAAATGATGTAAAATCTAACAAGACTACAGAGTAGAGTGTGCCTAAGGTCCCCAAATCACCAGCTGATGGTAAACATTTTTAAGTGGCATTAAAAAGATGTGCAGGCCAGGCGCGGTGGCTCACGCCTGTAATTCCAGCACTTTGGGAGGCTAAGGCACGTGGATCAAGAGGTAGGGAGTTCAGGACCAGCCTGGTCAAGATGCTGAAACCCCGTCTTACTAAAATTATAAAAATTAGCTGGGCGTGGTGGTGGACACCTGTAAGCCCAGCTACTCGGGAGGCTGAAACAGGGAAATTGCTTGAACATACTCAGGAGGCAGAGGATGCAGTGAGCTGAGATCGTGCCACTGCACTTCAGCCTGGGAGAAAGAGCAAGACCTGTCTCAAAAAAAAAAAAAAAAAGATGTTCAAATGATCACATGTAGGTGCTACAGTGTTTCAACAGCTAAAACCAAGTACACAATACTGATGAAGTCCTACCAATAAAATAATGTTCTTAACGTCAAATTAATCATATGAGAAGAAGCTACATCGTGTTTCTGCTAAATGATACATTTTCATTCTCTGATACAGAGCATTCTCAGTAGTCCCCATGATTAGAAGCACAAATGCTTTATTAAAAATAAAATATAATTAAGAGTGAAAGCCAGTGTCTGTGATTTTTGAAATAAGGTGTGCATTATTAAGCCAGACAAGAAAATTTGAATAAACCCAGTCCCCAACCCGTCATGCAGATTGGTATATAAGAACCCCCTTCCTGTGCCTTTTCTCTTTATTTGTGAGGGTTTAAGCCTTTCAGCCTTTCCTAGGGTATTTGCATTTTTTAAACTTTTTAATTTTTTTTAATTGACAGATAAAATTCTATGTTAGTTGTTTGATACAACACAATAATTTGAAATTCATCAAATCATCATGTTACATTGTGGGATAGCTAAATCTCGCTCTTTAACATATGAGTTACCTGATAAAAGAATCATTTTTATGGTGAAAATGTTTAAAATCTACTCTCTCAACGTTTTTCAAAAATAAAATATATTTTTATTAACTATACACGCCATGTTATACAATCGATCTCTGGAATGAATTCCTTCTCTAACTGGAATATTGTACCCTTTGACCAACATCTCCCCAGTACTTCATCTATCGACTTTTCTTTAAATGGCAGACATGGGGCAACACCAGCCTATGGCTATTCTTGTATCTCCAACCTTGTTACTCTGATATTCTAAACATTCCTAATACCATCTTTCTATACAAAATTTTGCATGAACATGTATACTTTAGAAAATCATCCACACATGGTTGCAGTTTAAACCTTAGACATGTAATTAGGAAGCATCACATTTTCAAAAACTGAGATTTTAACTATTTTAAAAAAAAAATCTTTCTGTAACTACTCTAGGAATTTTGCTAGAACAATACTTCTAAGCTGGCATTGAATGTGACTGCCCTTGAGAAACCAAAAATGGAGTGTCTGTGCTAAATAACATGTCCTCTTATGTCGACACTGAAACCAAGACATGTGAGTACAACACTACCTTATTATCCTCGAGGTTGATTACTTCCAGGAGGTCATGATTCTCTAAGCCTTGGAGACTACTTATCTGATTGTGGGACAGATCCAGGTTCTGCAGGGCTTTCAGATTCTCCAAACCTGTGATCGTCTCAATCTGGTTATTGCTCTAAAATAGACAAAATATATTTAATGTCTCAAAGACCTCTCACAGGAAAAGTTGTAATGGCAAGTTTTCATTTTGGATGCTGACCCAATTCTCTTTAAAAAAAAAATCACGAAGGCATTCTTGTCCTTCCCCCCACCCTGTTTTCATCATTCACCTCTCTAAACATATACACATACCCCAGAAAGAAGTTCCAGTTTTTCAGCTGGGAAACTCAGTATATAACATCTTCATTAAATTTAAAGCAAGGTGAGTATTCAAATCAGTAAGAAAGAAAAAGGCAGGTAATATAAGATTTTAACATTGCACACCTGAAGCATAATGACAGCATAACGCCAGATATATCATTAGAAATATAAATTTAATATAATTCTTTCATCATGATCACAAGAAGCCACTTGACTATTATAATCCCCACATACATTTTGTTTTCAGAAACATCTAAATATAATCACTCATGTGGCGAGGGTGGTAGTAGTCTGTTACCTTAGTTTTCTCCACTGAGCTGTGCCTCCAGTTATTCCTGCCCTTGTGCAGTTTCCTCCAATTTTGTTTTGTTTTTTTTTTTTTGAGAAGGAGTCTGGCTCTGTCCCCCAGGCTGAAGTACAGTGGCACAATCTCAGCTCACTGCAACCTCTGTCTCCCGGGTTCAAGTGATTCTCCTGCCTCAGCCTCCCAAGTAGGTTAGAATACAGGTGCGTGCCACCATGTCTGGCTAATTTTTGTATTTTTAGTAGAGATGGGGTCTCACCACGTTGGTGCAAGGGTGGTCTTAAACTCCTGACCTCAAGTGATCCACCAACCTTGACCTCCCAAAGTGCTGGGATTACAGGCGTGAGCCACCATGCCTGGCCACAGTCCCCTCCTCTTAAACCTAGACTGGACCTATGACTTAGCTTCGCCAAAGAATATGGCAGAAGGGTTCCAGTTCTAAGCTTAAGACTTAAGAAGGCCTGGCAGCCTCTGTTTTTGTGTCTCAGAAGTACTGAGCTACCACATAAGAACTGTAGATAATTCATTGGAGAGAACTTGCAGAGGCCATAGGGGAAAGGAAATGTCACATGGGGAGATACCCTGACACTAAATTGAGAGAAAAACCCAGCCAGCCTCTCAACTGAACCAACCCCCCAACCAATATGCCAGCTAAATGCAGTAAGCCCAGTGGAAGAACGTCCCAGCTAAGCCTGGCTCAGATTGTAGAATTCGTAGTTAATTCAATGGTTATTTCTCCAAGTCACTACAACTGGGGTGGCTTGTTATGCAACAGTAGATAACCAAACCAAGTTATTCAATAATTCACACAGAAGTATGTTCCTCGACAATGAGAATAAAACAAAGATTTAACACTGAAATGTTGTCTTCCTTCTCAATCTCCATATACCCATGACAACAAATAAGACTGATAATATTTCTCTTCCCTCTATATTTTTCCAGGTGCATGTTTCCTGGTACATTTGATAGCATCAGCCGATTTTCATCCCATTTTTAAAATAAAATTTCAATAATGAGCAAGATTTATGTTCAGTAGTATAATTCTATGACTTTTAAAAACATGTTAATAAAGGTTGGTAATCTACAAAGCTGACTGATAGCACACAAGGGTTTATCGTACTATTCCTTTTATTTTTACATATGCTTGAAAAATATCCTTAAAAAATACCCATAATCCATTTGCCAAAGTAAAGTCAAATTTCCTTGCGTCCAGAGTTCAAAAAAGTTATATAAAGTACAATGGAAATGGGAGAGAAAAAAAACTACACTAAATATCATATCCATATTAATTTAACATAGTACAATAAGACCCCAATAGCCTATTCAAAATATCCCCACATATCAAATTTATATATAATACATTTCTTCCTAAAGAACTCTGAAATGCTTTAGCTGTGGTAGACAGACTGTAATTCTTCTTAATACACTTCTTCCCAAAGAACTTTGAAGTGCTTTAGGTGCGGTAGATAGGGTGTAATTCTTCTTACAGTGTCTCTAATGGTTTTCAAAGTGGTAGATGACGTGAGAAGAGGGAGGCATAGAAAAGATTAGTTCGATAGCCTATGGTCATAAAGGAACCAGAATTGAAAAAAAAATCAGAAACACAGAATTTCTGAATTGAAAGCTATCTAGTTAAACCCTTTCTCCAATGCTGAAAACCCAATGCATCACTCCGAAAAGTGGACACCCAGCTTCTACACAAACAGTTCTTTCTGCTTGTTTATAATGAATGGGGAAAAGACTTTTAGAATAAAGCCATTTTCTCAAAAAAAAAAAAAATGAACTTAGAAACATTCTTAACCTACCAATTTTGAAAGATAAAAGCAAGCGGCATTTACTGTGACAAAATAAATTTTAAAGTTTGGAATGCATTGTCACTACTTGCTAAGAAGCGGGGCGACAGTACAGCCCATCAGTGAACCACATTTTCCCCTACATTTATCATAAAAGTGGATGATCGAGAATTAACAGTTGATTTGTATGATGACTTGTTCTTCTTTCTCTAAATTGTAATGTAAATTATTTTCAATTGTAACTAAAGCTACTGGTTTCCTGATTCTATGAATTAAAAATAAAAGCATTAAAAACTGTTGAAACAAATTTTATAGATTTTATTAAATTTTGGAAGAGAAAACCTTTCTATTCTCAAAAAATTAAGAAAAATGAATGATAGTATATTCTTTGTATTCTAGTTCATCGTGGGTGATGAGGACAGAGATTGGGAACAATCCATCAAACCTAAGAAAATAAAAGTATTCTATCCTTTTACTTTTTTTAATTTTTATTTTTCGAGACAGTCCTGTTCTGTCACCCAGGCTATAATGCAGTGGCATGATCTCGGCTCACGGCATCCTCCACTACCTGGGTTCAAGTGATTCCCCTGCCTCAACCTCCTGAGTAGCTGGGACTACAGGCACGTGCCACCACACTTGGCTAATTTTTTTGTATTTTAGTAGAGACGGGGTTTTACGATGTTGGCCAGGATGGTCTCGGTCTCCTGACCTCGTGATCCACCCTTCTCGTCCACCCAAAGTGCTGGGATTACAGGCATGAGCCACCGCGCCTGGCCTTATTGTATCCTTTTTCTAAAAGCTACTTGAGACAGAACTGTCAATATGGATTACTTATTTTGTAATTGAAATACACTCTTAGGATGAAAATGCTTTGCATTATTATTCTTAAGAATGAGTTCATTCTCCTTTCCTTAAGCACACCCCTGCATCTTTTTCTGTTTATCATGCTCCATTTTAAATGAATGGGAACACCAATACTGAGAAGATAAGTAAAGAAAAGAATAAGATTCTAACAAACCACAAAATAATCACACATGCTGCTAAAACGCCTTCAGATTGTCATAATTTTTCCATGTGACTTTTCTAACTTAAACATTTTCAATCTAATTTATCAAATTCATTTTCATTTATGTTTTGCTCATGCGCCTGAAAGGTCAGGAAAATTATTAAACCCTCAGGTTCATCCTCGGTACTGGGCCTAACTCACTGCAGGAATGGAAGACTTTTAAGAAAGCACTTCGAGCTCTAACCTAAGGGAAAGAAAAATTAACACATAGCCAGTCTTCAGTGATCTATGGTTAAACAAGACTGGAATAATATATTGTATATGTCAAAAATCAGCAGATAATCCAAGATGACATTTCATTTCTTATTTATTTATTTATTTTTTTTTGAGGCAGGGTCTCACTGTGTCGCCCAAGCTGCACTGCAGTGACGTGATCATGACTCACTGCAGCCTTGATCTCTTAGGTGATTCTCCCACCTAAGAGATCTCCCAATCTCTAAGTGATTCTCCCACCTCAGCCTCCTAAGGAGCTGGGACTATAGGCTTGCACTACCATGCTCAGCTTGTTTTTTATTTTTTGTAGAGACAGGGTCTGGCTATGTTGCCCAGGCTGGTCTCAAACTCCTAGACTCAAGCGATCCTCCCACCTCAGCCTCCCAAAGTGCTGAGATTACAGGCATGAGTTGCAGTGTATGGCCCAAGATGTCATTTCAGGTAACGGTATCAGCAACCCCCTGTGGGATAGTTCATGTAAGATATTACAAGTCTCATGGCTTGAAATCCTACCAGCCAACCCTATGATAGATGTAACGAAGAACGGCAAAGCCATCAAGGAGGGTAAGAAGGAGGAGGAAGGAGAAGAAAGAATCCTGGATATTCCACAGCCAGTACTGTAGACCCCCAAGTTACGGAGCCATACTGTTATTTCAAAACTATTGTGTACATCTTTGGGACTGTTAGAATCCTGCTGAATTTCTGTAAGCTGAGTTGTAGCCACACAGCAGGTCACACAGCTTGAAAAGAGCGCTCTCTGTGGGAAAAAGTAATCAAATTTAAACTTTCTCACTGGAATTGTTTATTTTTAGCATATTTTTTATTTTGTAGAGTGGAAGACTAACATGTTAAAATAAAAGGACTGTCAAAATTCAGTGCCCGGAAAACATCTTGTGGTTCATTTGAAAGCAGTTTAAGTGTTAACAGAAATAAATATTATACTTAAGTATGCTTAGATGTTATTTTCACCAATAAGATATTATAAAAAATATTTTTAAATACATGCTAAAAGTATACCTTTCTTCCCCAGTACAAAAAAGCCAATCATTTAAAATATTGAATTTTGTAACAAATTAGAAAATCATTTTACTTGAGCATGAAATACTGCCTGCTCTCTCTCTCTCTCTCTCTCACACACACACACACACACACACACACACGCACACACAAATGGTAAAGAAAGGAGCAAACAAAACTGAAGACTGAAGACAATAACATTTCATGAAGGAATTAGGTCTTTATATATTTGAATCCTAAGTAGTCATAATTCATATAGTTACTAAAAACATTAACTACTACTTCCATACAGAACAGAATTTTGTTAGACTCACCAGACAAAGTGTTTTGATTGGTAACGTATTTAAGCCATTGATTTTCATGATCTTGTTGTTGGCCAAACTAAGGTGAGTTAGATTGTTGCACATCTCTAGTCCACTGATTTCTTCTATCTTATTGCCTACACACCACAACTGCGTTTAAGGAAAATGTTATTAAAAGCATTTGGAAGAAAAAAAGAATCAGTGTTTAATCATCACTAGACAAAGCAGACCACAGCTTAAAGAACGATTATGTGCCCATATAGAATGAATATTAATCCTGAAATATATTTTTCATACAGAACATGCCATGTTTTATACAATGTTTATGTTAAAAAGGCATAGCTTTTGGGTGTGCTGGGTTGCATTTGACACATGTAATAGGTATGGAAAGAAAAATCACAGTGGCCCATAGCTGCCTTGTTGGGAGTGTGTTTTCCCTTGATCAGTTAAGCCTCCATGAGAAACTCATGTGCGTTTCCACAGGCAGAACTTCTGACTACCCGATCGCCCTGCAGAGGCAATATGTATCAAGCATCATCATCTTCATAACTAGGGTGAGAGCCTCGGAGATGTCATCTGTAACAAATGGGTGGTCCAAAGACCAATATCCTGTTATAGAAAGGAACAGCAGCCCTTTCTTTCTGTCTACATGGACCTCTATTCTCCCTTTAAAATAAAAGAGGCTTAAACTCTGCCTTATTTTCTCCATCTGTTAAGTTTCCATTTATTATAAAAATTTTAGCTTATCTTCTGTGTTCCATCTTGTAGTCACCTAACACTACAATCTCAAAATCATCAATTCTGTTCAGCTCTCTCTGTTCTCAATCTCTTTGGCCAGTTTCTGGGATTTAATGTCATTTCCCCATCAAAGCTCAGTTTTCCCTCTCAAGTAACCCATGACATCTCCATTTCTCAGCCACTCATACTCTTCAGGGCATCCAATCAATCACCAAGACCTGGCATTGTTTTGCCTTAAAATCTCTCTTCAATTATTTCTTTCCTTTTTATTCACTCCTCTGTCAACTTAACTCACCTTTAACATCAGAAATTAGACTAATACCCATTACTTCCTGCCCTAAAGTCACTCTACGCACTGTACGCAGGTTAATTTTTTTTTAATATTGATTGAATATCATGTTTCAATTAAAAAATCCTCATGGGAAGAATTCCAAATTCCTCACTCTGCCATTTAAGAGCCTTCCCTATAAGCAAAACTTATTTATCCAGTTTCATCCACATTATCATCCAATGAGAATTCCCTATTTCTACCAGGTCAATCCTCTCAATAGTTGTGGAATGCACCAAGAACTTTCTTTTTCCTACTCCTTTCTAAACCATACTCATTCTTCAAGATTTAACTCCAAATCCCACTCTTTTTCTTATGTTTTTTTTTTATATTTACATTAAATCGATATCTTAAGTTTTTTTTTTTGACGTATTTGACACTCATTTTCTTACTATTTATTTTCTGACTCTTACTTTTTAAATACACAAAGAAGTGAAAATGATAGGCTAGTAGAACAAGTTCAGGATATATATTAACAGATAAAAGATTACTACCTAGAATATATTAAAAATGATAATAAATCAACAGAAAAAAGATGACCCAGTAAAAAATGGACAACTAATATGCCCAGGCAATTTCCAAAAGAGTGACTCTAAGTGGCTAATAAACATATGAAAAGCCATTCTGTCACCTGTAGTCAGGAGAATGCAAATTAAGATAAGATGCCATTCTTTACCCATCAGCTTGGCAAACATTTTAAAGTAAAAGGTTTTAAATAACAGATACCTTTTTGCTACTGAGAGAGTTCATTATGATATAGTCGCTCTAGAGGCAATTTTGTAATATCTGTCATAACCATAAATATGTCACAGCCATTCCACTTCTTAGTATATATTCTACACAAAGCCATTTCTTCCTCAAAGCCTCTCCTGGTCAACTTCCAATCTCCAAGCTATCTCCTTTCGTTAATCAGAGAAACAAACAATTTTTTTAAAAAAGAAGGAAGAAGTCATAAATATCACAAAAACATTTTGCCTCCATAATTATTTGCAATTATCCCAACTCTACTACTTGGCAGATTTTTCATTTAAAGTAGGGATAATATCAGAAATTAAGGCTGAAAGTCAGGTCATGGGGAAAAAAATCAGAAAATGGGTGTGAATGAGCGACAAACCATAAATCACCTCACAATTATAAGGCATTGATATCATTACCAAATTACATCACACGAGGCCAAAGAAGCATGTCCTCTACCTCTAGACCTCTACCTCTTGCCCAGTAGCATAGAAATGGAAAGTTCAAGGCTGGGATTAAGCCTGAAAATACCTAGGCCAGAGAAAGAGGTCAATAAGGAAACTAAACAAAAATATAAAATGTACCAGAAATTCTTAGGTTTTCCTCAATGGTGTCAGTTTCAGTCCTTGGACTGAAGTATAGCTCTGTTTGTGGTCAATATGCATTTTCAAATCTGTTTCCATAAAGCTTCCTGCCAGAAGAGCCCTAGAAGTAGATGTTTGCACTTACAAATTCTATCTTTTCTGGTTCCGTTTTCTTTGGGCTGTTTAAATAATTATTCTGCAACTAGAACAAAGACCAGATCTTTGTGGATAAAGATTGTAACAAAAGATGAATGTGAAATATAGCAAACAGGAGATTAAACTATCTCACATAGGAATGGATGAAATCAAATACCCTTGGAGCAGGCAATCTTTGGCAACAAAAACTATGCAAGGAAAGCTTTGAATGGCCATCTGTCTCAGTTTAGCAGAGACAGAAATCACATTGAAGTCCTATTTTAGGAGTACTAGAGTATCCTAGTAGCTCTCCCTCAACCAAGATGAAGATACTCTGAATCATGGCAGAATAAAATCAGTGCTTGTGGGTATCTGGCTCAGGAAGTATTCTCATGGGAAGCAGGCAAGGATCAGAAAACCAGAAAACAGGAATCCTGAAATCATCAAGAGATGTCAGAAATAAAAAAGGAAAGCTTGTTTATTGTGTCTACAGTAATTTTCTAAGACATTACAGGCTAACCACAGTTCCCTTGGTACCTCCTGCTTACCCTCTAGCTTGGACTCCCACAGCTATTCATGTTTTCTGAAATTAGCACTGCAAGGACAGAAAGGAGGAGGAACTCAGATGCCTCACTGCAATCAGAGCCATGGTTTCTGCAGGTACTGTTATCACTAACAGCACTGGGGCTAAGGAGCAGGAGTTGCCTGAAGATCTCTGTTGAGAAATAGGCTCATTCCAGAAAAATTGTTTCCTCCTATATCTCAGCTTTTCACTCTCTTTTAAATTTCAAGGAATTTCAGGCACTCTAAATATCAGGTTCCTGAGTAAAGAGAACTTACTACAGTGACACAACAGCTTTTTTCCCTACTTCCTCCCACAGTCACCTCACGTGTGCCAGGAGGCTCTGCCAACAGTCCACATGCAGGCCTAGGCCATAGAGAGCTCTGAGTTCATAGATGGTCTTCAGTATCTTTATCTCCCCAATCTCTCGTTCTCTTAAGAACCTTCACAAAATGTTACTTGCCTTCCTCCTAATGTTATTTGTATTCTTTCATAGGTCTTAGGACTTCCTGGTAAGAAAAATCATAATCTGATAAATCACTAATCATTACAATGAATTAGCTTACTGGGTTAATCCTCTTAGGTATATTTTAATTTTAAAAGACCACTATCAGTAGAAAGAAACTCAAAAGAACTCAAAATCATCATACTGAATTCCAGCTCTAAACTTTTATGATTCTGTGAATAAATCTTTTAAAGTGAAATCGTAGATCCTTGGAGAAACTGAATGAAGGAACCCTGTGGCACTGAAGCATAACTTTACAACTGGGGAAAAGCCCAACAATATATTTTTACATTTTGACGATGCTGTCAGCAGTTCGGAATGCTTGACATGAATTATTCACTAGTTCAGTATTTGCTCTTATTCATTTGTCTACAATCATAAAATATGGTTCGGGTGTATAGAAAACAGTTACTGAGAAATAGTAGGAAATCCGTCACAGTTCTCTTAGTGGAGAGAGCTGCAATGATGGGTTTAATCAAAACCAGTCCTGAAAGATCTATATCACCTTACCAGTGAAAAATGCTCTTCACTATAGGAGTGAAGCTCTCCAAGAGATGAAACACGCATACAGTTTAAATGCCTCTGTGACAGAACTTGTAATTACTCAATGAATTGCAACATGCGAAAACCAGTGGAATTCAGAAGTCTCAGTTCAACCATTTACCAAATAATCCGGGGCAAGTTATTGACCCTTCTGGAGTCTCAGGCTCTTCTTCCATAAAATAAAATAGTGATTAGCACAAGATGACTGCTAAAATCCTGTCTGGAATTAAATTTCTATGAATTTTTAAATTCTATTTATTCTATTATCATAAAATGAATTCTAATCAACAACTAGTCAATGTTTATAGGTAAAGAATAAGCTGTACTCTTTCTTAAGAATAAATATATTTACTTAACCTCAGCAAACTTTATTGTATTACAATTTAGGATGATTGTCAATTAATCATCAATTATCCATATATGGAAAGATATAATAGCATAAGATAAAATAAAAAATTGATATCTTAAACTTAACAATTCATTCTGAGACACTGATATAATCTACTACAATTACACTGTCAGTATTACTAGCTCAACTGATTTGTTTTTATTTTAAATAATTATTTTCAAAGAAATTAATTTAGAATTTTCAGGTTTTTAAATTTTTACATAGACCTGGGTTAAGTTTAATACTTGATTCGCCATTAACCTATGCTTGACTAATTTTATTGACTTTTACGAATATAGTGAGTATGCTTGAAACTAGCGCCCCACCCCCAAGCCCAATCAGTAGAAAATTAATGACTTAAATCTGCCTGTGCATAGCTCTCCTACCAAATCCCTGTGTCTCCTTCCCAGAGATAGTAACTATGCTCAGTTGTCTCTTTTCTCTTCCCTTCTTCCTTTAATTTTATGCCTAAATTATACTTGCTAAGATTCATCCTTACATGCATGTAGATATTTCATTCATTTTCTATACTGTATGATATGCTATTGTGTGACTACACCATAACTTACACTTTCTCTTATTAATGTGTGTTTGGGCTGTTTTAATTTTTTACTATTACAAGCAATACTGCTAGGAACATTCAGTATAAGGCTCCAGGTACATGTATGCTAAACTTTCCAAGTGTAGGAATAAAAGTACTAGGTCATAATGAACTTGGATGTTCAACTTTACAAGACACTATAAAATTGTTTTCCATGGTGGTTGAACTAATTTTATACCCATAAACAAGATAAAAAGATCTTCTGGATCTACAAGTTCTCCAATACTTAGTATGTTTAGATTTCTTAAATTTTGTCAATGCATATAATACAGTATCTCATGCGGTCTTAAGTTGCATTTCTCTGAATACAAATGAGGTTGATCTCTCTTCATATGTTTTTTTGCCTTCCCTATTTTCGAGAAAATTCTTTTTCACATCTTTTATTTTGTCCATCTTTTACTCCAGGGACATGGGATATATTTCTCTTTAGTTAGGTCTTCAACATCCTTAAATAAGTTTTTTTTTACTTCCCGCCCCACCACCACAGGTCTTACTCATCTTTAATAAGGTTTGCTTTTGTTGTTCTTATAAATGGTGTTTCCCTTTAAAGTTCTTTCCTAATTGCTTGTTTCTGGTGCAGAGAAATGCAACTGATTTCTGTTTACTGAAGTCATATCCAGTCATATTGTTGAACTCTCAAAATTCTATTATTTCTAATAGTTGATGGCAAGTTTTTGATATTCTCTATAGATAAACATGTCATTTGCAGAGAATGACTTTTATGTTCTCCTTACCAACTTTTACACCTTTAATTTCTTTATCTTGTTTTACGGTGTTGGCTAAGACCTCCAAAATAATGGTGGGTTGAAGAGGCAATGGCAGACATCCTAACTTGTTCCTCATTTTAAAGGAGAACGCTTAGAACATGGCCCCAATTAGGATAAAGTGTGTTTCAAATATTTTTGTAGACATTCTCTATGAAGTTGTGAAAATTCTCTACTATTGAGCGTTTTTATTGTGAATGAGAGCCGAATTTTATTAAATTGTATCTGTTGAGTTTCTATATCTCCGGATCATAAGGTTTATTTCCCTTAATCTATTAATGTAGTTAATGATGTTTATAGATTTTCTAATATTCAACTATTCATACATTCCTGAGAAAAACTCAGTTTGGTGCTAATACATGGTCTTTTTAATACACTATCAGATTCAGTTACTAATACTTTGTTTAGGACTTTTACAGCTACATCATGAGACAAGCCTGTCATTTTCCTTTCTCTTATTGCTCCTTGGCTGGTTTAGTTATCAAAGAAACCTCATTAAAATGAATTGAGAACATGCCTTCTGTTTTTAGTGTTTGAAAGAATTTGTTCACTATTGGAAGGTCTCTTCTTGAAAATTTTGGGTCTAGGCTTTTTTTGGGTGGGAAGATTTTTAATATTTCAATCTAGCTTATTTTAATGTATAGTAAATTACTTTTATAGTTATAGGACTACTCAGGGTTTCTATTTCCAAACTCATGCATCATATTTTTCTAGGAATTTTTGCATTTCATCCAAGTTTTCAACTGTACTGCATAAAAGTTATTTTAAAATTCTTTTAAACCAAACTGTTTTATTTTCAAAAATCAGTATAATCTAGTGATTTTTCTTCTCCTCAACAGATTAATTTATAATCATCACAGATATATTTTTGCTTTCTGCTGTCCAGAAAAACTTGTAAAACTTCACTACCTGTATCATGCACAATATGATATACTTAAACAAAAGAGAAAGAAGTATATCTCATGCTGTTTCAAAACTAGCCTACTATCTTTTCAAAACTGTAAGAGATCTAAGTAGTTTATTTCATTAATAGTTAACGAAGGATAGTTTGTTTTTGCATTTTTTAAAACACAGGTGAGAAATGGTACCATGTTACACTCTAAGTATATGCCCATGTTGTGAACTTCAATTGGTTTTGATGTAATAATTACAGCTTTTTATACTTTAGTGATAAGACTCAATTGCTACATCTAATGTCAAGAAAAACAATCCTACTTCCTTTCTTCTTGATATCTGACATTTACAAAATCATAATACTTTAGTTTTTACATGGAAAGCTAAATGTATATAGAAATTAAGACTCTCATGATAGAAATGTTTTCAACTGTATTTTGAGTCCAAAATACTGTGGGGTTGTTTTCTTTGGCAATTCCATGTCAAAACATAGAATGTTTTTCTGGGAGAAAAGAGATCTCCATAACAAACTCCAGACTGTCATGTCACCATCCTCATTCAGGGTACCCTAACTGCTGCTTTCTGGCTTGCAGGAGTTTAGGGGCTGCTTACTTCTAGACCAACCAGTGTTTCTTAAGCTTTAATGTGCACTCAAATTGCTTTGGGGGGTCTTATTAAAAGCAGATTCTGATTTCTTCGGTCTGCAATGAAACCCAAGAATCTGCATTTCTATGAAGTTCCAGACAATGCTACTGCTGTGGTCTTCCTGTGTAGCACTTACATAGCCTGAGATAAATAGATATCTGAGCCAGATCGCTTCTGGACTGTCAGGCTATCTCTTTGCAAACTCAAAATACATGATAGTTAAGCATGAAGTGAAGGTTCTACAGAGAGATGCTGCTAATGTGTATGTGTTTAGTTTGCCATCAAAACATGTTATTTTGGTCACTTTCTGATTTCTCTGTTAGGCTATAATCAGAAAGACTTGCTTATTTAAGCACCATCTAAATGTCCACTAATTGCTTGTTTTCACACACAGGTTCTAAAGGGAATGGTGCTATGTTCTAAGCTTTCCATCATATATGAATAAAGAATTTTCCTTTTACAAAATATGTCTTCAAGAAAATGTACCCTCTGCGGTCCCTCGTCTCAGCCTTATCACAAATGTAGTGTGTACTACCTGCCATCACATCCCTGAATGAGGCACCCAAAGCAATCAGTTCATTCTCCATTATGTCCCCCCAAATCCTCAGGTGAATAGTAAGATACTTACTGAGAAAGAGAAGGTACTGGCTCCCCGCCACCCAGAAATCATCAGTCTCTGGTGTGAAGAAGAGACTCACGCTCATTAAACTCACAGATCTCCAATTAGCCCCTTAGGCTCTAGAAGCTGGAGCTCACTGACTTAAAGTAGGTGCTTTGCTTGCATGGGAGCCTGGCTCATGAAACAGGTATGTTGCAAATCAAATCAAAAGTTGTTTGTTTGTTTTTAAATGAAAGCACATTTAAAATACACTAGAAAGGCTTACTAAAGGGAACTTCGCATGAACTCTTTTGTAAAATAAATAATCACTAATTTTCCTTATGACCATATCTAAATTTTCAAATGCTGAATTTATATGATAGGACCCAAGTTTCAGTAAATTTGAAGAAAGAAGTTAATTTTTTAATTTTTGCTGAGACAGAGTCTCACTCTGTTACCCAGGCTGACGTGCAGTGGTACAATCTTGGTTCACTACAACCTGTGCCTCCCAGGTTCAAGTGATTCTTGTGCCTCAGCTTCGCAAGTAACTGGGATTACAGGCATGCCCCACCACACCTGGCTAACTTTTGTATTTTTAGTAGAGGCAGGGATTTTTCCATGTTGGCCAGGCTGGTCTTGAACTCCTGACCACAGGTGATCCACCTGCCTTAGCATCCCCAAGTGCTAGGTGTGAGCCAATGCACTCGACTGAGAAAGGAGTTAATTAAAACATAACTTCTTCTCCGGTTCTAGAATAAGAATAAGCCTACATTTATCAGAAGAATGACTATCTTACTTGGCTTTTCAGGGGTAAGATACTCTTGGCAAGCTTTGACTCACAGTTTCATTTCTCGTTAAATAAAATATCTATCCTCATTTTGTGAATATCAATTCATAGTCATTTAAATGAGTCACATCTCTATTAAATTGCTTATCTGGTACTAGTCCATGTAATCTAGTACAATTCTTGAATATATAGCCTTTAATTCTTACATTATTTTAAAATTTTTCCCCTTTACTTTTCAAAGGATACCATCCAAAATTAGTTTAGTGAGAGCATGATACGCTGACAAATCGCAAATTTCAGAAATTTGGTTGTGGGAAAAATCCACCTTCTGGCAAGAAAAAGAGAAGAAGATGTTATATTAATAGCTCATTTTTCATATTTACTACAATAATTAACTGCATAAGAAGAAGGCATTTCTGACTGCAGAGGTAGAATTCATTACTGAAAGTACGCTAAGGATAAGAGTCATCTATCTTTAATCATCTTCTAACTGGGATCTTTTTCTGTCCACTTCGAGGGATACTAGAAAAGCCTCTTTGCGGTGCACAGAAACCTCCCAATGCCCTAAACACTTTCAATTCCTGCAGCCACGCTCTCCACTTTCAGCATCTATTTTACGTGTTCTTGATCTTCTTTCAGGATTTACCTGAATTTCACCCTTACCTACAACCATTTCACTTTCTCTACTGCCCAGTAAACTGTATTTGCTTCATTTCTGTGCATAGCTTGTTTCTCATTCCTTCACCTTTTCTCATGCTACTCTCCAAATGCCAGAATAGTCTTTCTTATTCACCTCCAGGGAATGCCTCTTCAACCTTACCTTCTTTCTCAAAATTGACTACTGTAGGAAAGCATTTTCAGCAACATCTGTTGTTCCTAGCCAAACATATAAGACTAAAAGACAATATTAAATAACTTTAATTATTCACCTACCGGCAGAAGATTTAAAAATTTTTTAAGTGAAGAAAAACTCATGTTTTGGAACCACTGCATTCATAATTTGCTGAGTACATAATAACCATTTTCTGGAAAACCATCAAGCAATTGTAAAATAAGCACTATTCTTATTTTTCCATGACCTTTAAAATAGTAATTTCATCCCCCAAATTTGTCGAGATTATTCTAGCAACATATTAAATACTAAACCCTTTAAGTACTAGAAACTTTATATAGTAAATACTAAAAACTAATTTAGAAACAACTCAAGTGGGAAGAGTAGAAAACTGACGAAGTCAATTACAATACAGCAAGCATCAGAACTACTTAGTAAAATACTAGCAAACCATATGAAGAAACAGGAATGTGCAAATAAAAGTGTGATTTAAAAAATCATAACACCAAATGTATACATATATAAATGGCAGCTATGTAAAATTCATACTATGGAATAGGTCAGTTTGGCATGATGTAAATGGAGTTTAACATTCATCTTTTTCTTCTATTGAATAATAATGAACTACAAATAAACTTATGGGCTTACTTACCATTGACACTTTTTCATCAACACCTTTCATTCTGGTGTCATAGCATGACATCTGTATAATTGTATCTCAGTCAGGGCAAATGTCAATACCATGCTCTCTATGTAGCTATGGTATTAGGTTTCTTTCCTTTTTTTCTTAGATGGAGTCTCGCTCTGTTGCCCAGGTTGGAGTACAGTGGCTCACTCTTGGCCCACTGCAACCCCCACTTCCAGTTCAAGCGATTCTCCTGCCTCAGGCTCCCAAGTAGCTGGGACTATAGGCTCCCACCACCATGCCAGGCTAAAGTTTGTATTTTTAGTAGAGATGGGGTTTCACCATGTTGACCATGTCTGGTCTTGAACCCCTGACCTCAAGTGATCCACCCACATCAGCCTCCCAAAGTGCTGGGATTATGGGTCTGAGCCACGGCACCTGACCAGGTTTCATAAGACACCTTAAAGGGGTTTGTACCCCTGTTCAGACTCCCACTGGAACCTAGAGCTTGAAAAAGTAGCCATCAAATCAAATTAACATTTTTGACCTAGTAAGAGCAAAAGCATTCTAATAAATACAAAGAAGAGTATACATACATGTCCCTGCTCTAGGAAATGCATGTTCTCTCTGGTTGGTGGTACAAGACTCACAGATATTAAATGAAAAGGAAATGGAGTTTCTCAAGAGGGTGGGCATAGTACACGAGCCTGACTTACTGGAAAGAGTGGGCTATGGGGTCTCAGACAGTGGGTTCAATCCCAGTTCTGTTACTTCCCAGAAAAGGTGAAGTTGGTTACTTAACCTTTCATGCTTCAGTATCAGGACAGTACCGTCTGCCCCACAGTGTTATTGGGAGGATTAAATAATACTTTGAAAACACATGAGGCCAGGTGCCGCGGCTCACACCTGTAATCCCACCACTTTGGCAGGCAAAGGGTGGTGGATCACCTAAGGTCAGGAGTTCAAGACCAGCCTGGCCAGCATGCTGAAACCCTGTCTCTACTAAAAATACAAAATTAGCCAAGTGTAGTGGGCTCATGCCTATAATCCCAGCTACTTGAGAGGCTGAGGCAGAATTGCTTGAACCTGGGAGGCAGAGGTTGCAGTGAGCCGAGATCTCGCCATTTCACTCCTGCCTGGGCAACAAGAGTGAGACTGCATTTAAAAAAAAAAAAAAAAAAGGGGGGGGAAGAAAACAAACACCTGGAGGCCGCCATCATTCCTTCCCTGGTCTACACAGAGCTCACAGTGGCTTGCAGCACCCAGGGGTGCAGTCTGGCACTTGGTTCACACTTCTCTAAAATGACCAATATATTTGTTTGTAATTCTCCAGGACCTCAGAACTTTACAGATGGGGGTCTATGATTTTTTTGTTGTTGTTGTGGGGTCTTTCTGCGAGAGTGCAAGGAAGGGAAGTGAAAGGGAGAAACTCCAAAAAAGTTTTTCCTGGGGTAGGGGTCCTGCTGTTACCATGAATGATTGGCCTGTGGCTTCAGGCAAGGCGAAAGAAACAGCAAAAGGAGAATGAAAACAGCTCTGCGATTTCAATTCCTGATAACCTCAAGACCAGGCCGCCCACACTGAGTACAACAGGCACCTAAAGTGGCTTATTTGCACAAACGAATGTCACCCTGGCAAAAACTATAATATCAAAGTGAAAAAAATGCACTATTGATAAAAACAGAATGATATAAAATAGAAGAAAAATTGAAAATTAAAATCTCTCATAAGTATAAGGGAATGTCTGTTCCTTGACTTCAAACAGATTTTCATCTTTGTGTGAATCTCCATAGAATATTTCGAATTTAAGTTCATTTGGTTTTTAAATAAAATAAGACTTTAGCAACAGTTGATGTACGTTTCTTAAAATAACTTTTAATTTTTGAGTCCAATACAACAACACTGATCACAAAACCCAGGGTGATTGTTTCTAAATTTGTCAGCATATTAGATCCACCTGATGGTCTCTTAAAAAGTCTGGGACATGGTCAGGCGCGGTGGCTCACGCCTATAATCCCGGCACTTTGGGAGGCCGAGGCGGGTGGATCACGAGGTCAAGAGATCGAGACCATCCTGGTCAACATGGTAAAACCCCGTCTCTACTAAAAAAAAATACAAAAGTTAGCTGGGCATGGTGATGCGCGCCTGTAGTCCCAGCTACTCGGGAGGCTGAGGCAGGAGAATTGCTTGAACCCAGAAGGCGGAGGTTGCAGAGAGCCAAGATTGCACCATTGCACTCCAGTCTGGGTAACAACAACGAAACTCCGTCTCAAAAAAAAAAAAAAGTCTGGGACAGTTGCGGAGGCTCACACCTGTAGTCCTAGCACTTTGGGAGGCTGAGGCAGGTGGATCATTTGAGTCCAGGAGTTCAAGACCAGCCTGGGCTACATGGTGAAATCCCATCTCTTTCCAAAAAATATCAAAAAAATTAGCCAAGTGTTTTGGCATGTGCCTATAGTCCCAGTTACTCAGGCTGAGGTAAGAGGATCACTTGAGCTCAAGAAGCTGAGGTTGTGGTGAGACAAGATTGTGCCACTGCACTCCAGCCCTCCAGCCTGTCTCCAAAAAAAGAAAAACAAAAGTCCAGCACCCAAGCCTTACCTCCTTACCTTGGACTATTTAAATCAGAATCTCTTGCAGTGGGATTTGGGCATCAGTAGGAAAACTCTCCCAGGTGATACCAATGTGCAGAAAAGTGTGGGAATCACTTCTCTATGACCTCGCTACTTAAGTATGACCCATGGATCAGTGGCATGACGTCATCTGGAAGGTGTTTAGCAATCACAGGCTCAAGCCCCACCCCAGACCCAAAAGGTCAGAATTCCTTTTCTCAAGAACCACAGGTGATCTGGGCATGTATTTAAGCAAGAGACTGCTCTAGCATCTGCCGAGCTATGCCATCCACAACTGTTCACAGGTAGTTTATTTCTGCTTCAGAAATGCAAAAGCAAGGGCAGAGAAGGAGTGGAGATCTGAAAACATTATTTTCTTAAAAAATAAAGTTGGATAAATAAAAGGGCAAACTTTGAGCCTAGGACATTTTTACAGATTATTCAGATACAAAATTTTTCAGATAAAGTGTTTCTGCTCTATGTCCCATAACATCATGCTGTACATTTCAAATATACACAATAAATGCATTTCTTTAAATAAATAAAATGTACCAAGTAATATTTTTTAAAACTTCTTCTGTTGCCAGGTGCAGTGGCTCCTGCTTACAATCCCAGGACTTTGGGAGGCTGAGGCAGGAGGATCACTTGAGGCTAGGAGCTTGAGACCAGCCTGGCCAATATGGCAAAACCCCATCTCTACTAAAAATTCAAAAAAAAAACAAAAAAAAAATAGCCGGGCATGGTGGCAGGCGCCTGTAATCCCAGCTACTTGGAGGCTAAGACAAGAGAATTGCTTGAACCCAGGAGGTGGAGGTTGCAGTGAGTGGGGATCAAGCCACTGCACTCTAACCTGGGCAACAAGAACGAAACTCTGTCTCCAAAAAAAAAAAAGTATTCTGCTATAACTAACAACAACAAAAAAAAAAGCAATAATAACTACTGTTCAAATAAAGGAAAGAGAAGACCAGAGCAAAGTTCTTTGGTTTGAACAAAGCTTCCTAAAAGCCTATCCACTGACAGACCATCTTCCTTTTCCAAAATAAATGATATGCAAACCTTCTTTTTTATTTCATTTCTGACACTTACATTACTTACCTCTGTATCTTATTCTCCCTGGATTCTCTATTTGAGTGCTATTTTGCTCATTTAATTCATTTTTGCAAACCCCTTAACATGTATAATTAATGTATTCATAAAGTCTACCTTGAGGTTTTTGGGTGGCTTGAAATTGAAGAATGTAGTCAAATTATTTTGAGAAGCATTAAGTTCTAGGAGATAAGGCATACAACTCACACAAGATAAATCTGGGGGGAAATAGATACAGAATAAGGTGAGCCAGGAAAATAACAAGACAAAGGCACTAAAAACAGCATGCATGACCTCAGAATTAAAATTATAATAGTTGCAAGGACATCTTAATTATTCCATATGAGTGAAAGAAATACAATCAGGAGTATGTGAAACATACAAAAAAAATGTGGAAAACTCTCGATGAGTCTTGATTTAATCCTCTTCCCTGGGGGGGGGTGGCCAACCCGTCTCCCCTATTTTGGGGGCAGCCAAGTAACCAATGCCTGCGGCCTCTTCCACGTGTACGCTCACTCTCCCGCTAACAATGAAATGCTACAGAACTTGCCAGCCTTTGAGAAAAGGATGAGAAGCAAAAGCCTTAGACAATCCTCTTGATAATTAGCCCCTAAATAACTAAATTAGCTCTTTTCATAAAGAGTGGAAATGCCACAATTAGGAAACTCTCTTTGTTGCAAATTAAATTTTGTTTCAGTTGGACTTAGCGCTAGATCGCATTAAGTATCTGAAGTGATGTAACTCATTGCTGTTACTTGCTTTTGACTCCGGATTGGATCAAACATACATCTGAGTTTTGCATTTATCCCAAGCACAGACTTTGAATCCTGAATACTAAGTAAAGGACTACTGTGCTAATAAAGGATACCGCTAATGAAATTACATATAAAAGATTTAAAAAACAAACTATTGTTTTACCTTTCTTTGTGACTTTATAGCAGACACAGAGGTAGCAGAATGAATTAGGGAAGGAATCGGGAAGGGTTATAGCCCTAGTCTCTACCAGTAAGTCCTTTCTCCACTTGAAAATGGCAACAATACTAGCATTTCCCTCTCTCTCCTCATTCTAGATCATAGTATGTGCTATTACAGCCCTCTGGGGGATGGCCTCTACAGGGAGAATGGAGCCTCCTAACCCAAAGCCAAGCAAAGTACATCTACCTTTCTCCAGGTGGCACAGAGAGAGGCAGACCTGGGGAAGGAAGCCAGGCAGCAGCTGGAGCCCTGCCCTGAGGTGGGTGGGACACGCTGTGTAAGGGGCCTCCAGGTATCTTCCCTTCTCAAGAGTCACTGAAGCCAGAAATTTCCCTCCAATTTCTATGTTATTTCTCTAGACGAAACCATGCCCTTTCTCTTACTAAATGTAAATAGTTCTAGGAGAGACAATACTTTGAGACATTAACACTTTGGTGGAAATGAATCAGAAAATCCAGGAAGAACTCTTCGAGGAAACCTAAGGAGAAACTGTAATTGCTTTCCAACTGGTATCTATTTGTCCACGCTGAGCTCAGCTACATGTCTGTCAGTAGTGGTCTTAACTCTACTAATTTCCATGGGACCCCCAGATCCTCCTGAAAGATGATCTTTCTGTGGGCAGGTAGATAGAGATCCTTCTTGAAGCAGAAGCAGCAGCTAGTGCTTGGCTAGAGACAAAGAGACGGTGATTTCATATACTGTAGATAACCAGTTTTCATATCAAGACACGAAAAAGTTCCTGGGACCTTTGACTTGAGCTGGCCTGTTGTCCCCATCAGTGCAGTGACCACCTTGCCCACAAGAGGGCAGGAGCTCCTCGTGTCTCCAACTCTGGTTCTCGGCGTGTGGTCTGGGACCGGCACCATCAGCCTCATCCAGGGGCTTATTTGAAATGCAAATTCCCAGGCCCCTCTTCAAACCTACCGAATCAGAAACCCCAAGAATGGGGCCCAGAAATCTGTGTTATCAGGAACCCCAGGTGATTCGGATACAGTCCGAAGGTTGGCCTACAGCAGGATACCAGTGAGGCTGTCATCACAAAAAGAAAACCATGCTGTACCTTACACACAGGAGGCTTTCAATAATTGGTGAACTAATGAAATGCGCTGTCCAAGGTTAATGAGGACTGATCCGGCTGAAGAGGAGCGCTTGGAGCATAACTGTGGGCTCCCTGCTCCCATTTGTTGTCAGCACTTAGCATTGGCAAGGCCTCCCACCTTTCAGCAATTTCCTACCCAGCCCATGAAAACAACCTCAGAGGTGTGGAGTAGGTAGGCCAAGTGCTCCTGCCAGAAACACTAGAAAAGGCCTTCCGATGATAATATCTGAGATTTGCTTTAAAATAACCCTGGGGAAGGGGGGCAGGAGGAGGTAGAGATGGGGTGATCATTGTTGAACCCAGACATTCATTCCAATATTCCATTTGTGTACATACTTGTAATTTCCATAATAAAGCTTTAGAAAACTAGAAAGTAATTTCAAAAACAGTGGCATTTTAAGAATGAAAATGGGCTAGAATATTTCTTAATCATTAGAAAGTGGACTTTAATTATCAGAGTCTTAGAAGAGGGGAAAAAACAAAATCAAACAGAGAAGACATATCAGCAACATTTGTATGTCATAAAAAAGGCAGGCAAAAGAAGCAAGCAGAAAGATTATTGGTGAAGAAAGCAGGTCAGAAGTAATGATTTGCTTACTTCCTTAGAAGTTTAAAGAAAAAAACTGTACACTGTCAACTTCAAATAAGATCAGAAAATTAGAAACAAGGATCAAGCTTTGAAGACAATTTGACAATGGTAGGACTAATTTCATTAAATGTGAACAAGGTGTCATAACAAATATATTACATCGAACTACAAATGGTGGAGTTGGAGTTGAAAGGATCAACTAAATAAAGAGAGCAAAAAAAGAATGAAAAAGATGTATTTGTGAATCCCTGGTGCTCAAAAACAAGGATAAAAGAGCTAATGGATTTAAAATGCAAAACGTAGGCTCGGGCACAGTGGCTCACACCTGTAATCTCAGCACTTTGGGAGGCCAAGGCAGGCAGATCACTTGAGCCCAGGAGTTCAAGCCCAGCCTGGGCAACATGGCGAAACCCCATGTCTACAACAAATATAAAAAATTAGGCATGGTAGCATGTCTGTAGTCCTAGCTACTCAGGAGGCTGAGGTGGGAGAACTGATTGAGCCCAGAATGTCAAGGCTGCAGTGAGCCACGATCAGACAACTTCACTCCAGCCTCAGTGACGGGGCAAGACCCTGTCTCAAAAATAAAATAAGATGGCTGGGCGATGTGGCTCATGCCTGTAATCCCAGCACTTTGGGAGGCTGGGGCAGGCAGATCACTTGAGGTCAGGAGTTCAAGACCAGCCTGGCCAACATGGCAAAACCCTGTCTCTACTAAAAATACAAAAAATTAGCCAGGTGTGGTGGTGTGCACTTGAAATCCCAGCTACTCTGGAGGCTGAGGCAAGAGAATCACCTGCACCTGGAAGGTGGAGGTTGCAGTGAGCTGTGTTTGTGCCACTGCACTCCAGCCTGGGTGACAGAGTGAGCCTCTGTCTCAAAAAAAAATTTTTTTTAATTAAAAATTTAAATAAGATTTTTAAAATGCAAAATAAAGAGTGTCATAAAATGCAAAAGCAAAATAAAGAAAATCCATTAAAGAAAAAAGCAGACTAATTCATCTATACTGAGTAACTAACATAGGAAAAGAAATCATTAAATATTCAGGGAGTATTGAAGAAGGAATGATCGATCTCTTAAACGGAAAAAATAAAGCCAACATTATATCTCATGCTCTTAAATATCATTGACTGCATCTCAGCGACATTATAATATTGCAGATCTGTGCTTTTTCTCTCTCATCAGTTATCGGTGCCTTTTTTTGCATGGAAAACAAAGGAATAATATGTAAATTGATATACAAATTACTTATATCAAGTTTGGTATTATCAAACCATATTACATACGTCAACATTTAAATTTTCAGATAATTCAGTGATCAATCTAGAATGACAATTACATACCTTCAATTTTATTTGCTGAAAGATCCAACTTCTGTAGGTGAACATATCCACAGAGAATGCTAACATCAATTAAATTACAACCCTGAGAAAACAAAAGGTAAAAGACTTTAATGTTGCTTTGACAGGTTACTACTCAGCCTTCTTGCAATAAATGTTGACGGAAAGAAATCCAGAATTTCTTTCACAAATATCGAAGTGAGAGAACAAAATCTGAAGCCTGCTACTAATAGGATCTCCAAAAAAAAATAAAAATAAAAGGCCTTCCTTTGAAGAAAATAATAGCTTAGGAAATTAGTGTTTCTAGCAAAAACGATTATAACATCAAAGGCCAATTTAAAGCAGTGTTCATGGAGACGTTAGAACGGAGTTCTTGTTTTTGTTTTAAACCACACAATAGCAATAAAGACAAGTCCTTTATCTAGTAAAAAAAAAAAAAAAAGAGAAAAATGCCTAGAATTTAAATGAAGTTTTAAAGAGCATTCACACCTCATCAGGAGATCATTAATAACAGTTGTACCTACGCTTTCACAGGGTTCATTTTCAAAGCTCTTTCGCAAAAGTCTCATCTGATCAAACACACCCGTGAAATCTGTAGGACAGCTTATTCCCAACTGAGAGACGAGGGGTGTGAGATACAGAGAGGTATGTTAATAGCCTGAAATCACACAGCAAGTTAGTGATAGAGAAGCAGTGTCTAAGCCTTTTGAATCCTTGTCCAGAATTCTTTCCAGGAAATCTTGATTCTAGTGAGCTTCAGGTGAGATTGAGGGGAATTTGGTTTTCATGGAATAAAGACGTCTTTGACTGTTTTATGTCGTGATGTCAGAGTCAGAATAAAGCGAACCAATGAAGAGTCATTATAAGCACGTTCTCATATGGAATAAAGGTGACTGTTTAATGAAGGCTGCTGGAACAGTAATAATAAATAATTACTTACTGAATACTGTGTACAAAGCATTGTGCTTGGAATGATGAGAAATACAATGATGGAAAAGAGCTATATTATGCCCTTAAGAAACTTATGACTTTGGCAGGAGAGAAGAAATGTACACAAGTAATAAGAAAAAGTGGAAAAAAATAACATGTAACATAAGTAAGAGATAAAGAAAAAAAAAAATCACCAAACCGGGCAACCCTAAGAAAGTGTATTCAGTAAGACAGGTTATTAAGGCAAAGTAATTCAACATGTAATATCTGAGATGTAAGGAGGTCAGTGGCAAAATAAATTAAGCTTCAGTCCATCCAGCTGAAATAAGATTTAAAGGATTGCTGTTTGGGGTATATCAATTTAAGGCATAGCCCTACCTACATAAGTAGAATATTGATTGAAAGGGACTTGTGTGGGGGTGCATTGGCTGCTGAAATTATATCCCATATTCCAGCATCGAACATGGTGCAGTGCATACACGGTGCTCCCTGTATGTTATTGCCTGACGGGCTGAGTCATCCATAAAATGTTATAAAGTGAAAATGGAAAAAAGATTACAGTTTTAATATGCTGGCCTTGAAGGACATGCCATGGAGCTAGCAGAGGTGAAAAGAGCTTAACATTTCTTGTGTAGCCTTCTCATTCAAATCCAAGACAGAGCAGCCTTACAGATATACCCTTTTGCCAAATCACGGTGCCATGGTAAAATTTCAGTGCGCTTCTTTTTTCTCATATGTACCTAAATTTACTTTGTGGATCTCCAATGAATATTTAATGCTTTATAATATAAGGAGGCAAAATGCCTTAAATTGTTTTCCTAAGACCACAGAGAAAATGAGGAAAGAAGCAAGTATTCCCAGTAGTTTCCTCTTACAGCCTCTCTTCTGATAAAATTGAAGCCAAGATTTTGTGCTACTCTATGACACGTACTGAAATCTTAAAAACTGATGAATAATAATAGATTCTTTTCTTTAATGATAGGTATCTTGTGGAAAGTAAGCTATAGCTCAAAGCCTCTTATTTCTTGACATACTTAGTGGGGAAAGTCAATATCACAATACTGTGTACCCTTGGATTCAGATGTAAAGTTTAGCGCTGCTTCCACTGATCAGAGAGAAAATTCTTAAAGAGCCTTTGAGATTGGTTTTACAGAATCAAATTCAACCTCCTGGAAAGGAAGCATTGATTACTATAATATAGACTACTTAAGATGAAAGAGACAGAGTGTGAAGAGAATGAAAACTAAGAAATTGGGGGGGGCTGATTACTGGATGGGTCAGGGCACTTTGAAGTCTAATATTTACATAAATATCTCTCATCACCAGTCTCTATCAAATGCAAGGCTCCAAGATTTGCTGCCACCACAGAAGCTACGAGTACTGAAGAAAATAAATATGGTCGTGCCAATGTCAAGCTGCAGGCAGCCAATGGAGATTTTGGCATACTCACTGATAAAGTCAGATTGAGGTAGACTTGCTCAGTCCCAGACCCTGAGCGCCCCAACTGATGGAGTGCTTCAGCCACGGCCTCCTCTCTCAGGACCCCATCAAATTTCTTCTGTAAAAAAAGTCAGAAAGGTAGACAAAGAAAAGACTCTTATCAGAAAAGAAACAATCTACCTTGTCATATGCAGCACTTAGTATATTGTATACCCAGGACCTGAGCCCTCCAAAATTTACCAATATCCCCCCAAAACTTCAGTGTTGATAACATACACGTATTACATATAATTAAATAACTATCTGCTGGCTGGGCACAGTGGCTCACGCCTGTAATCCAGCACTTTGGGAGACCAAGGTGGGCAGATCACAAGGTCAAGAGATCAAGAACATTGTGGCCAATATGGTGAAACCCTGTCTCTACTAAAAATACAAAAATTAGCTGGGTTTAGTGGCACGTACCTGTAGTCCCATCTACTCAGAGGTTGAGGCAGTAGAATCGCTTGAACCTGGGAGGCGGAGGTTGCAGTGAGCTGAGATCATGCCACTGCACTCCGGCCTGGGCAACAAGAGTGAAACTCCATCACAAAAAATAAAATAAAAGAACTATCTGCCAAATCAATGTTTTCATTGCCACTGTTTTTTTCAGGTGGTCATTTGTGTTGGACATTCAAAGCTGAGTGAATATTGTAGCAGTAGAAGCATCAGTGTCAGTGGTGGTATTGATTGAGTGCTTCTCTAATCTAAACACTGTGCTAAGAGCTCTCAATAGATTAACTCATTGAATCCTTTGGACAACACTGAGATAGGTACTCTTATCTCTACCTTACAGACTGAACAACTAAGGTTTGGAAGTTCTCACCTGAAACAAACAGATAGTATGTGACAGAGCTGAAATGAAGATCCCAATCTGTCCAATCCCAGGGCAGTTCTCCAAAACTGTCCTAACCACTGTGTTTAACTGCTTGCCCACACCCCAAAGGATGGTTACATCAAATTAAGCCAATTATTTCTCTTAACCTGGCATTCTTGCTGGAGAAAACAGGTCCTTCAGTTCAATTAGTCAATGTTGCTAGATTTGTAAAATTTACAAGATTATTAAAAAGGTGATGATTGGCCGGGCACAGTGGCTCACACCTGTAATCCCAGCACTTTGGGAGGACGAGGCGGGTATATCACTAGGTGAGGAGTTCAAGACCAGCCTGGTCAAGATGGTGAAACCCTGTCTCTACTAAAAATACAAAAATTAGTCGGGTGTGGTAGAGGGCACCTGTAATCCCAGCTACTCGGAAGGCTGAGGCAGGAGAATCTCTTGAACCTGGGAGGAAGAGGTTGCAGTGAGCCAAGATCACACCACTGCCCTCTAGCCTGGGCAACAGAATGAGATTCTGTCTCAAAAAAAAAAAATGGTGATGATCATTTCTATAAGGTGGTTGCCTCTTGGTCTATAGACATCACACAGACCAATGTCAGCCTGACATGCCCTTCCTCCAACAATGACAGACAAAAGAGATAATAGGTGGGTCAGTACTAGGTTTGTGCTGCCTTCAACTCCATAATGATCAACACATTAACACTGGCATCAACACAAGGACACAAAACACAGTAATCACATCACTCACTCTGACATAACTAATCATGACTAGCATGTAGACTATGATGGCAAAATATCCCTTTTCTAAGTCCTCTCTATGAATTCAGGAACCAACAAAGCTGCTCCAGCTGTAGGTACTGATGACATACTCACGTAGGCTTGTGCTATTATAAAGAGTTTCTTTCCCCACAAGTTTCCACTGATCCAGGGAAGTAAATACCACCAACATGGACAGCACATGGCTTCAGAATTGGGCAGGCATGGTTTGAACCCCAGCCCTGCCATTTTGGATGTGTGACTTTGGGGAGCCTTGTAGTTTTCAGCTATAAATAGGAAACGTTATTACCTTTGAAGAAGTACCAGACAGGTTGCTCTAAAGTATGCCATGTTGGTATATTGATTATTTTGAGCTGAAGGCACTTGAAAAACAGCAAATGCAGGGAGAGACTCTTTCTGAACTCTCTTTATCTGCCTAAAGGCAGATCCTCCAAGAGAAACTCAGTTGTCCTAAATTCCCACCTTGGTGGTTTCATTAAACAGAGAAGATTGACTCTTACCCACCCCAGGAGAGGAGACCAGAAATCAATGTCACACTCAGACAGACTTTGTCACAAACTCTCATACCGCACATCTGCTTTTTATCCATTCCCTAAAAAGCATTTATCCTCCCCTAAGGGACCTGCATCCCTTCTCCCCTTCCTCTATTGAGATGGTACATAACTTCTCAAATCTCACTGCTTTTTTAATTATTCACTTTTATTTTTCCTGCAATGTTCCCCACAAACATTAAAAATTTATTAAAATTGGTATATGTATATATATACCTTTCCTCCTGTTAATCCATCTGTTTTCAGTTTATTTTACAGACCCAGCTATAAAAGCTAGGAGTGTAGAGGGAAAGTCTTTCCTTCTCCACATCTTCTTTTAATATTTTTGGAGAAAGAAAAAAATGGATATACAACTCACAGCACAGTAGGTACAACACAGTGTTCCCAACAGATGACAATTTTGTTATTATTAATTGATGAAGTCAGAAATTCCACATCTTAATGTTTCACTCACCCACGCCAATCAGCCTGTTCACAAAATGGGCAAAACACATTTACTTTTCTAAATAAAGTCCTAGTTTATTATATAAGTCCTGGGAAGGAATGTCACCTTCCCTCCAAACTTTCCACCCAGCCCTCTGAAGTTCATCTGGCCCCTCCATTTTCTGGTTATATGAAGACAGTGCATCCTTACTTATAACAGGTGGATGCTTCTTTTCAACTTAGCCATTGACACGGAGAGGAGCCCAGGCTGTCAGCATTTTTCCATGTCCCCAACACAGCTCTCTGCACAATAACCTCCTCACACCTCCTGAGGTTCCTGACATGTGGCAGTATTGTCTTCCCCTTCCAATATTCGATCATTTTCAAACTCCTGTCGTTATCTTGAGTGGCTTCAGAAGCCCTGTGGATGGGCATCCAACGCTCCCTTCCTAACACATGCACACATGCACATGTCCTTACTGTCTCAACTCCAGACAGCTTACTCTCACGGCCATGCCTGGACCTAGCCATCATGCTAAACTGCTCCATCCCGGAAACCTCAGACTCCAGTATTCCGCTCTAATCCTACAGTGGCTTATCCTTCAACCTGTCTGGTACCTGTTGAACTTGCTCACCAATCACAACAAAATCTCCAGTCTGTTCACAGATAGACATCTTTCTCAGAGTCTATCTGTTCCCTTCTGACTATATTCCCTTCCCTATTGGGCAGCCCATGGGCAATTCTCTTTTTCTTTTTTTTTTTTAGACACGGTCTTGCTCTGTCTCCTGGGCTAAGATGTAGTGGTTTGATCTCAGCTCACTGTAGCCTTGACCTCCTAGGCTTAAGCCATCCTCCCACCTCAGCCTCCAAAATAGCTGGGACTACAGGCATGTGCTACCCTGCCTGGCTAATTTTTATATTTTTTTATAGAGGCGGAGTTTCACCATGTTGCCCAGGCTGGTCTCAAACTCCTGGACTCAAGCAATCAGCCTACTTCCACCTCCCAAAGTGCTGAGACTACAGGCATGAGCCACCACACCTGGCCCCATAGGCAATTTAAATTTCTCTCTATCTTCAAGTCTCTGATCCTGGTCCCCCCTGGTTGCAGCTACCCATCCATATACAAATCTGAATCAAGTTCACAATCAACTGCTTTACTGAGGCAGGACTGTGTCATGTTCATCATTCATCAGGGGGAAAAAAGTCTGTATAGAGTTCCTAGCACATGCAGCTTGGCTCAGTGGATAAGACATGGTAAATAAGTAAACAGCTATGGTGCCTGTCCATAAGGGATTTACAGTTCAGTCTGGGAGACAGACACGTATTCAAGCAATTTTAGGCTTTGATAAATATTAGAATAGAGATAAGCAGTGTCTACTGACTATGGGCAGGGCCCCCATTGTATATCAGTGCCAGGATGGAATAACAGTTAGCAAAGTCTTCCAAAATGAGAGAGCCATTCAGTAGAGACTCAAATTGTGAGTTACTCTGACGAAAGGGAAGATAAGGCTGAAAAGCGAGCCAAGAAATAGTATTACAGGCAAAGGGGGCAGCACGTACAAAATCCCAAAGGCAAAGGCAAGCATGGCCCATTGAGAGAATGATGAAGGTTCAAGATGGCTGAAGCCTAAGGGGGAAGGAGGCAAACAGTGCCTCACACATGCTGAGTGCTCAAACGTGGGTTGAATGAATGAAAGCACCTACCTGCTAGCTGCTGAGTGGGCTGGAGAAGATCCCACAACCGAGCATCCTGGAGTCCCTGCAAAGCTGAATTTTAGCTGCGTCTCTTTGCTATTAAACAGTCTCCCATTCTTCATCGGCCCCTTTTCAACTCCCCTTCTTGACTAGCCCAGCTCTCCATCACTCTCAAGCTGGCAGAGCCTCCGCTCCATTGCCCTCTTCTCAACTAAGGCCCTTCTCTTCTACTTCCAAGGCAAAATGGAAGCTCTCACATGTTAACCCTCTCAGCTTCCTAGGAGCACCTGCCCTAATGTTTCTCACTTAGGTCTAAAGGAAGACTGTGTTCTCTCTACTCAGGGTCCCACCCCCTTCTCTCTCCTCAGGGACCACTTTTGCCCCCTTTTGTCTGTGTTTTGAACCCACCACTCTCTACTGTTCCCACTCCAGCTATAAAAGTATGGTAGACTCTACTGTCCTACAAGGCTTCCTTCAGTCCGGCAGGTTCCTTGAGCTATAAACTGGAGTTTCCTTTAATAACCAATCTTCTCTAGAGTTGTTTTTTATGCCATAGCTCTCCTTTCCTTGCCTATCACCTATTCTTCAACTTCACTTAGCTTCCTGACTTCACCGCCTCCTAAAAATCAGGTGGGCCACTGTCTCCACTGACCCTCACATAGGCAAAATCAATGAGCACTTTTTAGGCCTCTTCCCACTTAATCTGTGTGTAGCATAACCCATTCCCATGTTCTTTCTTTTTTCTTTTGAGACAAGGTCTTGCTCTGTCACCCAGGCTGGAATGCAGTGGCATGATCATAGCTCACTGCAGCATCGAACTCCTGGGCTCAAATGATCCTTCTGCCTCAGTCTTCCAAGTAGCTGGCACTACAGGTGCATACCTCACTATGACCATTCAGCTAATTTTTTTTAAATTCTCTTGTAGAGATGGGGGTCTCACTAAGTTACCCAGTCTAGTCTCAAACTCTGGCCTCATGCCATCCTCCTGCCCTTGGCTCCCAAAGTGTCAGGATTTCAGGCATGAGCCACTGAACCCAGTCATCATGTTCTTGAGACACCTGGCTTCCCTATCATATAGGTCTTCTTTCTCCTCCTGCTTCTCTTACCAGTCCTTCCCAATTTTCCTCCCTGCTTCTTCATCTGCCTACCGCTTAAATACCCTTGATATCTGTACCTTTATGGTTCTATTCGTGGCTTTTCCCCTCCCATCCCTTACTGATTTTCCAGAATCTAGTGGTGATGGTTCCCATGTCTCCTACTCTGAGATCCCTCGCTGATTTCCGGTCACGTGGTTCCTAAATCCAACACCTTAGCACAAAGCTCCATCTTTCCGTGATTTCTATGATAGATAATGGCCTTACTATTACCCCAGACCATGCCATAGGCCTAACAGCCATCCTAGACTTCTAATATTTAATTTGTAAATGAACCATCTTAAATACTTTAAATATGTTTTTATCTTTAGCTTCCTTTCCATTCCCACTGCCACTGCCTTAATCCAGGCTCTTCTCACTCCCCTGGATTTTGCTAGAATCTTCTCACTGATCTCCTTGCCTCCAGTCTTACAATCCTCTAATCTAATCCCACCTGGCCAATGGAGCAGTTCCTCACTGTGTAGAGACCCCAGTCCAAGTCCCCACAACATCCCAGTGCCCTTCACCATCTCACTCCTCCCTAGGCTGCTGCTGCTTCTTTTTTCTTTTTCTTTTTTTTTTTTTTTGAGATGGAGTCTTGCTCAGGCTGGAATGCAGTGGCAAGATCTCGGCTTGCTGCAACCTCCGCCTCCCAGGTTCAAGCAATGCCCCTGGCTCAGCCTCCTCTGTAGCTGGGACTACAGGTGTTTGCCACCATGCCCAGCTGATTTGGTTTTTTTTTTTTTTTTTTTGGTATTTTACGGCCTTTCACCATGTTAGCCAGGATGGGCTCCATCTCCTGACCTCGTGATCTGCATGCCTCAGCCTCCCAAAGTGCTGGGAGGCGTGAGCCACTGCGCCCAGCCTGCTAGGCTGCTTCATCTGTTCTCACTTGTAACTCATCGGTAGGAAAAGCTGCCACCTGCCTGTCCACACGGCACCTCTCTACTCAGGCAAGAGTCTCCTTCCCCTGAAGCCTGCCACGCTGCCACGTCCCTGCAATCCAGCTGTCAACTGTACTCATCTCTTTACAGCATACTACTGAATTATGCTGAATTGCTATGATATACTCACATTCTTATCTCACTTTGAAAGCAGGAACTGTGTATGTCTTCAATCATGTTCTCATCTTTTTCTACCATTACTGTTATTATTTATTGCAGCCATAATTTTTTGGGAGTCTACTCTGTATCAGACACTACAGTAAGAACTTTAAATATAGAGTTTCTTATTAAATTTGATGCTCATAACTATCCCAGGGGTAGGTATTATTACCCATATTAAGGGACTGAAAAGAAGTGTTTTTCATGCATCAATTTTTGGGCCCAGAAACTTCTGCTCTGTACAGTCAAAGCAATCGTGCAGTACAGTCTGTACAATCATGCAGCTCTGTACCGTCATAGCAATCATGCAGTAAATGCTTGTTCAATGAAGGCTAAATTAATCAACTCACTTAATGGGCTGCAGTTAGCAGATAAAAACATGTAAGTTACTATTTGTATTAATTGGATCCAAAATATATTATGATAAGCATTTAACATACAGGATCTCATTTAATTCTCACAATTCTGTAGGTATTGTTATAATTTCCACATTAAGAATGAGAGCGGTTGCCAGGCGAGGCGGCTCATGCCTGTAATCCCAGCACTTTGGGAGGCTGAGGTGGGCAGATCACCTGAGGTCAGGAGTTTGAGACCAGCCTGACCAACAAGGAGAAACCTCACCTCTACTAAAAATACAAAATTAGCCAGGTGTGGTGGCGCATGCCTAAAATCCCAGCTACTTGGAAGGCTGAGGCAGGAGAATCGCTTACACCTAAAAGGCGGAGGTTGCGATGAGCTGAGATCATGCCATTGCACTCCAGCCTGGGCAACAAGAGCAAACCTCTGTCTAAAAAGAATGATAGCGGTTAAGTAACTTGCTCAAGATCTCACAACTAACAACAAAAAGCTAAATCAAGCCTCAAACACTAATCTTGTGTTTGAACAGGTGGTCCATACTGCCTCCCTTAATTCATAAGGGCTTCTGAGGTTTAAGGCAAGTTGCATTAAAGGCACTCAATAATCATTGTGACCATGATAGCACTGCAACTATTCGCCAGGCTAAGATGGGAATAATAAATCACGGAACATGAATTTCCAAATTTTAAAACTTGGTTTCAGTTTATTTAGCATATTAATATGTGTGCAATACTGTGAAAAGCCAAAATAGATTAAAAACACAAAATTAATATTTAGAACGTAAATGAAAGGAATAATGAACCTGTTCCACACGTCTTACAAGGCAAAAAGGGAAAACTACTAGTTCATGTCAACCCCTTCTATGGTTTGTTCATGGCATACTGAAGACAGATTAACAATGGTGCTAATGAACCCCATAGCCAAAGAGCTAGGTGTTAATTAGAATAACAAAGTATACTGGTGGTTCATTTGTGAATTCCCCTGGGGGGAAGCTGGTGAAACCATACAAACATCTCAATGTGGCAAAAACACTGCTAGAGTTTTGCAACAGTGACTGTTAAAGATAGCAAAGTAAATCAACAAAAGACAAAAGTAATAACACAGTAATTAATTGCTTTCTATGGTCAACTTGAAGCAAAACTGATGGTAACTGGTTAACCATCTTGAGTATAAGCAAGTAGAAAAAGAGGAAAGACAAAAAGGGGGATGAGGATGGGGAAAAAAAAAAAAGGCCAAATGTTGAAAGTGAACAGAAGGAAATTACAAAGGAAGGGGAACCCAAGTAGTTAATAAAAGAATCAGGGTAACAGAATATGCTGCAGGTTAGAGAGGGGGAATAAGAAGAAATAAGACAAATGAGGAAAGGAGTCTGTGAAAGGGAACAGGCATAACAGAGAAATATTTCTGGCCACAAGGAGAAAAGGTGACTATGAATCGATGCAAAGATGCAAAGGGGAAACCAGAAGAATATTACAGAATGAGGGTAATAAAAATATCCTAGGCTTGGCACAGTGGCTCTATCTGTAACATCAGCACTTTGGGAGGCTGAGATAGGCAGATTGCTTGACCCCAGGAGATCAAGACCAGCCTAGACAGCATGGCGAGCCCCACCCGCCCCTGCCATCTCTACAAAAAATATAAGAATTAGCCAGGTACTGTGGTATACGCCTGGCTATATACCACTGGCATATACCAGTATAGTCCCAGCTACTCAGGAGGCTGAGGCGGGAAGACTGCTTGAGCCTTGGAGGTCAAGACTGCGGTGAGTCATGACTGCACCACTGTATTCCAATCTGGGTAACAGAGTAAGACCCTGTGAAAGGAAGTGCAGGGAAGGGGAGGGGAGGGGAGGGGAGGGCAGGGGAGAGGGAGAAGGGAGGAGAGGGGGAGAGGGGAGAAGGAGAGGGAAAGGGAGGGAGGGAAAGAAAAGAAAAGGACAGAAAGAAAGAAAGGAAGGAGGGAGGGAAGGGAAAAATAAGAGAAGGGAACAGAAGGGAAATGAAAGAAAGAAATTCTACACTTTTATATTACATTTACTTCTTAAAATAATTTGATGCAATTTATACTGCCAAGGAAAAGGAAAGGGGAGAAAAAACCTAAAGGAAACTTTGCAATTAAGAAAAAATGTTGAATCTGAGTTTCCTGGCAGCTAAGACAAAGAGAAAAACCTAAGCATATTGAAAGAAAGCAAATTAAATTATGCGTTTGAAAGAAAGCAATTTATTAGAAGCCAAGAGAAAAAACTGATGTGATGAGAAGTGGAAAAGACAGGAAGACAGCAATGGACTAAGAAAAGAAAAGGATGATAATACGAGTAAGAAAGAGGTGGAATTGTGTGGTGGTCAGAAGAGGTATTGCAGGAAGGAGGGAATCGGCAGTCCTGTGAAAGGTAAAGCCACCACCCCAGTCAATACAGGTGGGATGATGGGAACATTCCCCACATCCTAAAATACTCCCACAGTGAGCTGGCTGTTTGAATATTTTAAGGGCTCCTTTCTGGTGTGTGTGCATGTTGCTTGCATAAGACATAAGCCCCTGACAGAAGTAATGTATTCAACTTTTAAGTCACTTAGTCTTTGAGGAAGCACTTTCAAAAGAGGATTCCCCGCCCCCCGAAGGAGGCTGATGGGACTAGATCTGGGGTCGAATGTAGAAGTATTTTATAGCCATGGGCAACAGGTGCTGGAATGCCAGAGATGAACTCTGCCCATTCACAATACTGTCAAAGTGTAATTGTGAAAAAGCTAAAGCCATAATCCCCAATTATCTAGACACTCTTTCAAAGTGACGGTGTGTTAACTTGACTCATAAGAAATCAAATGTGTTAAGGAAAAAGAATGGAGATTTTTAGAGATATTTCAGGCAGGGGGTGAGAAAACGGGGTAACAGACGGGAAAAAAAGAGAGGAAACAGGAGTTCCAGGAGGCGAGAGAGCCTGAGAAGGTGTGGGAAGCTTCGGGCTGGTGGGGGTGCATCGGGAGCTGCCGCCTAAGTAGCAGGGCCTGACGACTGGACGAGAGAGCCAGGGAGTGAGGGGTAGAGGGGGAAGGCACACCTCCAAATTCAGCATTTCGGACTCTGAGGACTCCTCGGATCTCAACTCGCCCTCGCCCAGGTCCTCGTCTCCGTCCGCGTCCAGCTCCTGATAGCGGTGCATGAGCTGCTGGAGCAGGTAGGAGGAGGCTGCGTTGTACGTGCCTTTCGTCTTGTGCCCCATGGGAAAAGAAGACCGGCAAGGCTGACGCTCCTCTTCCGCAAGAAACTGTAACGATTGGGCTCCAGTTCGGGATCTGCCCAAGCCTCTCAGGAGAGAGGCAGCTCTGGTCCTCAGGAGAGCCCTCTCGGAGGCCGCCATCTTGTTTAGTGGGGTTGCCTAGGAGACTGACGCTCGGCAAGATCAGCCGCAGGGGATTCTGGGGCCTGTAGTCTACTCCGCGCTTGCTCGCCTTCTGCAGGCGGGGGCAAGGGGTGCGCCATTCGACTTTCCTTTTTCTCAGCCTCTTCTGTTGTTCTTCTCTTTTTGGTCCGTTCTATTAGCTTGTCTTTCTTGTTTTCACATCTTTTCGCTACACCCCCTTTCTTGATTTCCAGCTGTTTCCTCCCTACCCTGAGACGCCTCTTAGAGCTTTATCATCCCACGCTAGGATCGCAGGTGCGCCTCCGTTCCCGCTTCATTCGCAAAGGGCTCTCCCCGAAGAGTCATACTTTGGAAGTGTCTAATGTCTCTAAAGCTGTCTGTGGAAAGCTAGTACCATTGAAATTTATGCAGAGCGCGACGCTAGTAGACAAGGGTGCATATAAGTGAAATGGAAGGCATGGTTTCTGTCCTTATGATTTAATTGCAGATAATAAAGAGAAACTACCAGACAACGCCTGAGAGCTGATTTGCAATTAATTTACATTCCCCACCCCCACCCCCCAATGATAAGCCTTGTCCTTGGGGAGAAAAACTGGCAGTGGTCTAACCATCCAAACAGAAAGAGAAAAAAATTGCTGTCAAATTGACACTGTATCTGAAAGCGTCTGAAAAGCTATTAGCATCCCATAAATAATTATATTAGTCAAGTGACCTGCATTGGCAATTATTTTAATCTTGTTGCATAGGCTCTCTTTGCAGTTAAAAAAAAAATACTCTTGCAAGATAACAAAGCGTGATTTTATGCTAGTGTGATTTTATGTGACCCAAATCCCATAGCCTTAAGCTCCACAAAGTCGACACTCTATAGAAAAGCAAAATGAAAATTATAGTAACTATTATTGCCATAGAGATGACACTAGAGATCCTTGCAGGGAAGTAGCCCTCATCCTCCTGGCCTTACAGGACCTTTTCTGCACGCTTCAATGACAGTAGTTGCAAATACAAAATGATCCTGTCAATTGCTGTCAGGGGAGAAGGAGAAAAAATCCTTATGGACACCATCCATTGACTATTATCTTTCTCAGTGCTTGAGGGACCGTTAAAACTGACATCAAGCTTCCAGAATTACCTTCCTTCATTATCTTGCTGGTCATAAATGTAAAGCCCACAACCAAAGTATCTCTTTCTGCCAGGCTCATCTTGCTTCTTGCTTATTTCTTTTTCCAGTAAGTAGAGATTCCTCCAAGGGAATTTTCCCCACCCTTAGCCTTGTAGGGCCTGGTTTCAGCTAAGTGACATAAGGAAGAATCCAGCAGAAAGTATAAAAATGCAAATCTCAATTGTTTTTCTTTTTTCAATAATTTAATCAGCATTTCTAGTGAGTTTTGCCAATGTCAGTCTATCGAGAAGAGTGTCTGAAGGCAGTCAAAGAATAATTTTCAAAAATTTAAAAACAGGATTCTTATATAAAAAAGTAGAACGAAGCACTTGTGAAAGATTCTCTTCGACTCACAGATTAATGAAGAAATCAGGAAGATAGTAATCAGGTATTCAGAGTCCATGAGAAAAGACATTCTGAAATAAGTTTGCCAAGTTATAGACAAAACTGGTTAATGTCCTACAGGGCAATCAAACTATAGCCTTTGAGGTTATGTAGTCTACGCATTTTGTCTCTTTTCATTTTCTCATCTACCTTCTGTCTATCCTCATTACACAGATAAGACCACTGAGCCTCAGAGAAGTCAAATAACTGGCCAAATCAGTTGGTGATGCTGAAATCCAAACCTAGAAGGACCAACTCCACGGTCTACCTTCAACTACTGCTTTTGTGTGTGAAGAAAATGTGAGGCAAGATAAAGATATGCACGAAGAGGTCTCACAAGAAAAAATACATCAGCCAAGGTTTTTAAAGTATCAGTAAAAGAATTCATTCAGAGGAAAACCTTTTCATAAAGAACCATAAAATATAAAAATCAGAAGGAACCTACAAGTCCATCTTATCCCAGTTCTTTTTACAGAAGAAATACAGCGTTCAGGGGATAACGGCTTGGCCCAAATTGCCTGACTTGTTAGCAGCAGATCAGGAATTAGAGTCTAGACCTCTTGTTGCTGAGTTTTTGCTCTTGCCAGTTCACCAAACTGCTCACTAGCTTAGACTTTTACTAATAGAATCCCTCCTCTGGGATTCTGGGCATCACAATACAAGGCATTGTATCCATAAAACAAGTTATTTTATCAGAGAAGACAATTAAACAGAGGGAGAGGAGGTGAAGGGAGGAAATATTTATTCTAAACTCTTCTCATGAGTACAAAAACATCAATAATCGCTTCTATTTATTCACTGCTTACTGTAAACCAGGCCTGTGCTAAGTGCTACACACATATCTCATTTAATTATTCCAATGGCCCTCTGAAATAGGATTTACATCCCTATTTTCAAAGGAGAAGAAGAGGCCCAAAGATGGTAAGCAATTGCCCAGTTACAAAATTTGTGTCTAAAGTGGCATTCCAACTCAGGTCTTCCTAGATCTAAAGCCCCTGAAATAACTATTAATACTCTTCTTTCTCCAAAAGTATGAATTAGTTTCTCAGGAACGTATCACGAGACATAGAGAACCCGGCCCTGGTGAAATACTAAAAATGAGAGAGATAGAGTGAGTGAGAATGTGTGTGTGTGTGTGTTGGAGCAGGGAGGAAGACCTCAAGTTCTGGGACCAGGGTATGATGTGAGGTAGGCAAAGACGGTGGGATATGAGGATATGATCATTACAGAGAGCAGGGTCTTCTGTGATAGGCTTGGATCCTTGCCACCTTGGGTGAGAGGAAGGAGGAATTCAAAGAGTGACATGATGATACTGAAGAGTGCCTTTTTTGAGAGGGTATCCAGGATAGGCTTCTTGGAGGGAGATCCAAAGGGGTAAAGAGCTTAAGTCAGAAAGCGGGGGCTGACTCCAGCTTCAACTTCATGGTATCTTTGCGTTGGTGTTATTATTAATCTCTACTTATCTTGAACTCTTCTGTGTGCAACTGAAGTATTCCCTCAGTCTGGTGTTCCCCTCATTCAGAATGAAAAGAAGAGGCCAGATGAGCCTTCTACTGCCTATATTTGGAAAGAATGCCTTTCTAGGAGTGTAGACCTTGGGCAAGGCAGAGAATGTGTGCCCCCTTCCCCGTACATACTTATACCCTTTTTGTGCAAGGACAAACAGTGCTTCTCAGACAAGTTGAGATGGCAGCACTTTAAACCCATGGTGATTTTATATGAAACACTATAGTGTTTACAGAGCGCCTTGAAATGAAAAAAGAAGATAGACAATAGAAGGCACCGTTAGTATTAACATAATGATAACAATTAAAACACAACCACATTAGTATTTATGAGTAATCGCTAAGTGCCAGACAACTAAGTGCTTTACATATATAAACTCATGTAATCCCAATAGGTACCCTACAAGTTAGAGATTAATATTATCACTCTCATATTATAAATGAGGAAGGATAGTCATAGAGATGTCATGTAACCCTTCATTCCACTGTGTCAAACAGTGACAAAGCTAGCACTCAGATACAAAGTCTGGTCTCCCAGCCTACATCCTTAATCAAAGGATGTTTCTGCTCAACCACATCAGTAAAACTTTATAGAGGAGAACCTTACATTTGAGATAATTTGATGAATTAACTTATTATCCTTTGATGGCTTCTTATCCCTGTCTAGGAAGAAGGAAAGAAAGCTTATTATCGAATAAAAGCCTGGTGGGTATATAGACATTAAGTGAACAATTACACTAATAATCATGTCGTTTTATTTGTCATAAGGGCTAAGGAGGGAAAACATAAAAGCCATGAGAATTTTACCTGGAGCCTTGACCCAGTATGGCGGAGAGGGGCCCTTTAAAATGTTAGACAAACACTTTGAGCCTCATGATTATAAAGTTGGGAAAAGCCAACAACAAATGAGGAATTCATGTGCTACCTTTGCAGAAATCAGCTCCCTTCAGATTATAATAATCATAAGTAATTGAGCTAATGAGAGCCGATAAATTCTAGGCAGAAGTTGACTGAGCCAAATAATATCCATCCTAGCAGACATCAAAGGTGCTTTGGAGGTTGCCCCACTAATAGATTACCCAGATCAGATACTGACGTTGAGATCAAAGATAAAAATTGCAGTCCAGGAAAAGATCATCTTAAAAGCTCAGAGACTAAAGCAAAAAAGTCAAGTCAATGAAGAATTGTTGCAAAGGAATTGCAAGCATCATGTTGTGAATAAAATCTGAACACAGGACTGGACAAGGATTACTGAGAATTTCTAGCTCAGATTATCTTAGTGGACAGAAAACTGGATATCATCAGAGAAGTCACCAAGACTTAAGATCAAAATGATTAAAATGATGACCAGAAGGGACTGTTAGAAATCTTTTGCGTGAAGATACGAGGACTTGAGAATGTTACACTAGGGCAGTCAGATCCAAGAAGACCAGGAGTAATTCAGGAAGAAATTATCACAGGAGGCGGTAAAAGGAAGAGGTGCTTGAGAGACAGAAGTTTTAATACTTAAAGCATCTTAATGGCACTGAATAATAAAAAAAGAAAGAAGAGCAAATAGAAGGAAGATATGGCCGGGCGTGGTGGCTCAAGCCTGTAATCCCAGCACTTTGGGAGGCTGAGGCGGGTGGATCACGAGGTCGAGAGATCGAGACCAACCTGGTCAACATGGTGAAACCCCGTCTCTACTAAAATACAAAAAATTAGCTGGGCATGGTGGCGCGTGCCTGTAATCCCAGCTACTCAGGAGGCTGAGGCAGGAGAATTGCCTGAACCCACGAGGCGGAGGTTGTGGTGAGCCGAGATCGCGCCATTGCACTCCAGCCTGGGTAACAAGAGCGAAACTCCGTCTCAAAAAAAAAGAAGGAAGATATATGAAAGGTGCAAGAAATCCTACCAGAGCACATACATACACTTCAAAAATAACAACACACTTCATCTAGTTAAGAACAAATGAGGAGCAGTGCTGCTTTACAGAAAAGCAAATCATGTAGACTCTGATATAAAGCACAGGTAGCACCCAAGTCACCATTATCACTGACTGGTTACACAACCTATAAGACCCTGCTCCACAGAGAGGGCTGCTTCAGGCATTGGGGATACAGAAAAAGTTAAAGTCTTGGTCTCTTTATTCAAGGGATTTGCATTATGGTTGGAGCAGCAGGACACATACAACAGACATACAAGTTAAAAGTATACAAGGGGAGATAAGTTCCGCCTGATTGATCTGGCGTTACATCACAGGCCTTCAGGGAGGGACTGAATTGGGGGCAGCAGTGACCATCACTTCCCTCTCACCGCTCCTGGCAGATGGGGCTCACTCCTGGACTCAGATAAAGCAATGCCTGAGCCAGTCCAGGGGGGTTAAGAGAAAAATCTCAGTTGGGGTCAAATATGCCCCAAGATAGGGTTGCTCTTAGGAGCTTTAGGGAAGAGGTTAGAATTGAGTGAGACCCTGAGAGAGGAGAAAGAAGTGGGCATTCTGGGATGGGAAGTGGCAGAGATAAAGGGAGGAGGCTGGCTGGGATGTGCTGCAGGAAGTCTCTGAGAAGTAATTACTAATAATATGGAAATAAATTCTGCTCACAGCAAGTCGGGAAGAAGGAGGAGGTACTGCCTTCCTGTGAAAAAAGGGACATGAGTGAGGAAAAGGAGGAAATTGCCTCATGTGTCAAAATGTCTGAGCAGAATCTAGAGATGAGAGTTAAAACAAAGGAAGAAGAGATGGACACAGTTAGAGGTCCTGACAGCTGTGAGGAGAAGGCAGGAGCCTTAAACTCCTGCTCTTACATGATGTCTATTATACACAGATGATGCTCTCCCATGAGGCTAATAGGAGGCTCTGTTGTCTCTGATCTACTGTATTTTTTAGGCACCTTATAGAACTTTTATTCATACCCTGTATCCAGACTTCCTCAGTTACTTTTCTCCCGCAAGAGTGCCTCTCTTTCTTGCAGAAAGTCTCCTGCACATAGTAGTGTGCTTTACAAACACATATGACTGCTCACAAACTTATCTTTATGGTGATTATGCCAAATGCATCTGCCACTTCATTCCTCCTGAGTGAAAGGACATCTGTGCAGATGAGTGCTTGGAATGAAATGATCAGGATGCTTGTCTCAGAGAGGAGTGCCTAGACTCTGAAGCCTCCAAAGAATTAAAAAGACACAAAGCAGCATTCAGAGGGGCTAACAAGACTCCTTTAGAGTTAGTCCTGGGATCTAATCCAAACCAGCCCGAATGCCTTCCTTCCAAGGTTACAGGACAAGTTAAAGGACGTGAGTGTAAAACTGGCGGATTCAATGTGCTAGATCGTGAACACAGCTACCAATTCTTCCCATCCCTGCACGCACGACCCTTGCAAGGTGACTCTGTAGCTCCTCCAGTTAAGAGGCGGAGTCTATTTCTGCACCCCTGAAATCTGAGCTTGACCATGAAACTTGCTTCGGCCAACAGCACAGCAGCAACTGTGGCACAAATGCTTGGGCACTGGCTGCTCTTGGGAATGCCGTGACCGCCCTGTGAAGAAACTTAGGCTAGCCTGCCGGATAACGAGAGATGCTGGGACCAGTTTCCCTTGTGGGCCTGGCCAACCACATCCCATTGCCAGACATGAGAATGAAGCCAGCCGAGATTATCCGGAGCCAGCTGCCTCACTGATTTATGAGGGAGCACAGTCAAAATCAGTTGAGATGACTCAGACCAGAAGAACTGCTCAGTCAACCCAAAGAATCATAACCTAAATCAATGGCTATTTTAAGCCACTAATATTTGAGATGGTTTGGAATGCAGTAAAAGTTAACTTATACATACAGCGTCTAGATGTATGTCGGATGTGAGATGCCTACAGTCTCACTCAACTGGTTAGTAAAAGATTGTGGTTAGAGTCTCTATTTTCTGACTCTCACTGAAGTGATTAGTTTCATAACAGTCTTTGCTACTATGAGAACTATATTCCATAAGAAACAAATCTTTGCTGCTATAAAGGCCAAAAAGGAAGCTGCAAATCTTTCCCACAGTGCAAGTATTCATAGTCAGGGTTCTCCAGAGAAACAGAATGAATAGGATGGGATATAGATACATACACACATATTATAAGAAATTGGCTCATGCAATTTTGAAAACTGAGAATTTCATGATCTTCAGTTGGCAAGCTGGACACTCAGGAGAACAGGTGGTACAATTCCAGTACAGGTCCAAACACCTGAGAACCAGGAGAGCCGATGGTGTAAGTGCCAGTCTGAAGGCAGGGGAAAACCAAAGTCTCAGCTCAAGAAGCCAGGCAGACAAAGTTTCCGCTTACTTGGCTTTTTTGTTCTATTCAGGTCTTTAATTAATTTGATGGAGCGTACCACACTAGGGAGGACAATCTGCTTTCATCAGTCCACCCATTTGTATGTTAATCTCATCTAGAAACACCCTCACAGATACACCCAGAATAAGGACTTGACCAAATATCTAGGCACCCCATGGCCCACTCAAATGGACAAAATTAACTATCACAGCATGTAACACTTACGGAAAGTTTCTAAGTAAAGGACAGCATCTTAGTCTGTTTTCCGCTGCTATAACAGAACACCAAAGACAGTAACTTACAAGGGAAAGATTTTTATTTCTTACAGTGCTGGAGGGTGGGAAGTTCAAGAGCATGGTGCCACATCTGACGAGGGTCATCTCACAGTGGAAGGGCAGAAGGCAGAAGGGCAAGAGGGGGTCAGAGGGCACAAGAAAGAGAGGAAAAGGGGGCCAAACTCCCAAATATCTAACTCACTCCCATGATAAAAACATAATGTATTCATGAGGACAGAGTCCTCATGGCCCAATCACCTCTCAAAGGCCCCACCTCTTAATACCTCACAATGGCAACCAAGTTTCAACATGTGTTTTGGAGGAGACATTCAAACCATGGGAAACAGAAAGTTCTTTGGAATCTCTTAAAGGGAAAGAACAAACCTTACAACTGTGAATGTTGCTGTACCAGTCTTCCCATCCAGCCAAGCGGGCCTCATGGATGCTCTATTGAATTTCCTCCTCCATGCGCCACTGTCTGGAAAGTGCTCCTGGCTTCCTTAAAGTCTGTAATGATGCAAACCATCAAGAAATACTAAAAAGTCTAGGATGTACATAGAAATAAAATGATAATAGTAGCAAAAAGAGCCATACTTGCATGAAAAATACAAGTAAAGAAGAAGCAGCTTTGAAATCCTTCCCCCTTCAAATCAAACATTAAATGTTTAAAATGGGAAGAGTATGATAAAGAGAGAATCACACCCTGAGTCACTTCACACAGGGCCTTCTGGAGAGGCACAGGACATCAGCAATATGCATTTCTGGGAGACAAAAATCCATAGCCATGTGAGGAATAAGACAGAAGCCTGACCTTTGCCCCCCATTGCCTTTGGATATCAAGGTGAGTGATTTTGTGTTTGAATTATTTATGGTTATGTAGATAGTCTTGCAGATACAAACAGCTCTGAGTAGGCTTGGTATTTCCATTATAAATAAATTGAGATGTAGGGCATTTTTCAATTCATTATTGAGGCCTCCTCAAGAAGTTCTCACTTCGTCTTGTTCTGATTTTCATTCCTGACCAAATTAAGCTACTCAAGAGTCCATCTTGACTGTAAATTTATTCAGAAAGTGATTTATGGGCTTTTACAAAATTCTTTTGAAGAGAAACCATTTCAGAAAATTAATTTTAACTCTTTAGGTATTGAGTTGCTCTTAATGCTACAGCTTTTCGAAAAAAATTGTGGTAAAATACACATAACGTGAATTTTACCTTTTAAATATGTTTAAGTGTATAGTTCACTGGCATTAAGTACATTCACATTGCAGTGCATTCCACCTGTCTCCAGATTTTTCTGCAAAATTGAAAGTCCATTCCTGCTAAACAGTAATTTCCTAATCCTTTCTCCCCTCGTCCCTGGAAACCACCATTCTACTTTCTGCTTTTATGAATTTGACTAAATATCTCATCTGAGTGAAATCATACAGTATGTGCCTTTTTGTTACTGATTTATTTCACTTTGCAGAATGTCATTAAGGTTCATCTATGTTGTAGCCTCTGTCCGAATGTCCTTCCTTTTTAAGGCTGAATAACATTTTAATTTATGGATAGACCACATTGTGCTTGTCCACTCATCTGTCAGTGGACACAGGTTGCTTCCACCTTTTCACTATTATGAATCATATTGCTATAAACGTGGGTGTGCAAATATCCATTCAAGATCCTGCTTTCAATTGTCTGAGGTATATACCCATAAGTTGAGCTGCTAGATCATATGGTAAAACACTAGTTTTGGAACATCCCATATAGTTTTCCATAGTGGTTGCACCATTTTACATTCTTACCAACACTGCACAAGGGATTCAATTTTGCTACATTCTCATCAACACTTATGTTCTGTTTTTTATAGCAGTCATCCTAATGGGTGGAAGATTATTTCTCATTGTGGTTTCCATTACCATTTCCCTAATTATTGATGATGGTTCAGCATCTTTCCGTGTGCTCATCTGTCATGTGCATATCTTCTTTGGTGTATTGTCTATTCAAGTCCTTTGCCCATTTTTAAATTGGGTTATTTGCTTTGTTGTTATTGAGTTGTAGGAGTTCTTTGTATATTTTGGATATTAACTTATTATCAGATCTATGGTTGGCAAGTGTTTTTTCCTCCCATTCTATGGGTTGTGTTTTCACTTTGTTGATTGTGACTTTTGGTGCACAGAAGTTTTTAATTGTGACGTAATCCAGTGTATCTATTTTTACTTTTGTTGCCTATGCTTTTGCTGTCATTTCCAAAAAATCATTGCCAAATCCAAAATCATTAAGCTGTTCTCTTTTTCTTCAGCTTCACCGAGGTATAATTGACAAATAAAAATTATATATATTTAAGGTATACAACCGATGTTTTGATGTAAGTACACATTGTAAAATGATCACTACAATCACGCTGATTAACATAACACCTTATATAATTATCATTTTCTTTCGCGTGTGTGTGTGTGTGGTGAGAACACTTAAGATCTACTCTATTAGTGAATTTTAGTTCACAATACTGTATTGTTCATTATACTCACTATGCCAAACACTAGATCTCCTGAACTTAGTCATTTTACTTAACTGAAATTTTGTACAGTTTAACCAAAATCTTACCTTTTCCTCCTCTCTCAGGCCCCTGGCAACCATCATTCTACTCTCTGTTGCTATGAGTTTCACTTTTTTAAGATTCTACATATAAATGAGGTTATGCACTGTTTGCCTTTTAGTGTTTGACTTATTTCACTTAGCATTTCTTCCAGGTTCATCCATGTTGTTGCAAATGACAGGATTTCTTTTCTTCTTGAGGCTAAATAATATTTCACTTCATATGTGTGTGTGTGTGTGTGTGTTTGTATAATACATATAATTGGATATGACACAAAAGTACAGGAAACAAAAGCAAAGACAGAAAAGTTGCAAGATTACATCAAAATAGAAAACTTATGTGCATCAAACACCACAATCAACAATGATTTATACTGGCCAGGTGTGGTGGCTCATTCCTGTAATCCCAGCACTTTGGGAGACTGAGGCAGGCAGATCACTGAAGGTCAGGAGTTTGAGACCAGCCTGGCCAACATGTTAAAAGCCCATCTCTACTAAAAATACAAAAATTAGCTGGGTGTGGTGGCATGCACCTGTAGTCCCAGCTACTCAGGAGGCCAAGGCAGGAGAATTGCTTGAACCCAGAAAGTGGAGGTTGCAGTGAGCCAAGATCATGTCACTGCACTCCAGCCTGTATGACAGAGCAAGATGCCATCTCAAAAAAAAAACACACAATTTTTTATATATTACATACTATATATATATGTATACCATACATATATGGCATATACCATATATATGGCACATAAATATATGGTATACATATATATATACACCATATATATATATATATATATATATGACATTTTCTTTATACATTCAACTGTCAATGGGCATTCAGGTTGTTTCTGTATCTTGGTTGTTGTGAATACCGTTACAATAAACACAGGAATGTAGCTATCCCTTCAAAATCCTGATTTCATTTCCTTTGGATATATATCCACTGGTGGAGTTGCCAGATCACAGGATAGCTCTATTTTTCATTTTTTTAGAAAATTCTATACTGTGTTTCATAATAGCTGTATCAATTTGCATTCCTACCAGCAGTGTACAAGGATTCAATTTTCTCCACATCCTCACTGAATTAATGCATTCAGTGAATTAATCCATTCTCACAGTGCTATAAAGACATACCTGAGACTGGGTAATTTATAAAGAAAAGGGGTTTAATTGGCTCCTGGTTCTGTGGGTTGTACATGCTTCGGCTTCTGGGGAGGCCTCAGGAAACTTACAATCATGGTGGAGGGTGAAGGGGAAGCAAGCACATCTTTATATGGCTGGCAGGAGAGAGAGCAAAGGGGGAGGTGCCATGCACTTATAAACAACCAGATCTCACAAGAACTCTATCATGACACAGTACTAGGGAGATGGTGCTAAACCAGTAGAAACCACCCCCATGATCAAATCACCTCCCACCAGCTCCACTTTCAACACTGGGAATCACAGCTCAACATGAGATTTTTGTGGGGACACAGAGCCAAACCATATCACTCAGCAACACCTGTTTCCCTTGAAAATTAGCGATGCTGAGCATCTTTTCATATTCCTATTTGCCATTTGTATGTCCTCTTTGAAAAAGCAAACTATCCAGGTCCTTTGCTCATTTTTAAATTAGGTTATTTGTGCTCTTTGCTATTGAGTTACATGAGTTCACTATACATTTTGGATGTTATCACCTTATTAAATATGTGGTTTGTAAACATTTTCTCTCATTCACTCTGTTGACTCTTTCCTCTGTTGCGCAGAACCTTTTCATTTTGATGCAATGCCACTTGTTTATCTTTGCTTTTGTGTCATATCCAAAAAATTGTTGCTGAGACCAATGTCAACAAAGAGTCAAATCACAAAATATTTAAAAAGGTTTATTCTGAGCCAAATATAAGTGACCAAGGCCCATGGCACGTTCCCCAGGAAGGTCTGAGAACATGTACCCAAGGTGGTTGGCTACAGCTTGATTTTATACATTTTAGGGGGACAGAAGTTGCAATCAGATATCAATCAATACATGTAAGGTGTACATTGGTTCAGTCTGAAAAGATGGAAGAACTCAAAGTGCAGGATTCAAGATCAGAAGTGGATTCAAAGATTTTCTGATTGGCAATTGGTTGAAATAGTGACGTTATTATCTAAAGACCTAGAGTCAATAAAAGGAGTGTCTCGGTTAAGATAACAGGTTGTGGAGACCATAGTTTTTATTATGTAGATGAAGCCTCCAGGTAGCAGGCTTCAGAGAGAATGGATGGTGCATGTCTCCTATCAGATCTAAAAAGGTGCCAGACTGTTAGTTAGTTCTCTCCTGGATCAGGAAAAGATCTGGAAATGGAAGGGGATTATTTACAGAATGTAAATTTTCCCTGCAAGAGACAGTTTTGCAGGGCCATTTCAAAATATGTCAAAGAAATATATTTTGGGATAAAATACTTTGATTTCTCTCAAATCAAAGACCTGCTATCTGTCATGTGCTGCTATACTAGAGTCAGGTTGGAATTCACTATCTTATTGTTACAAAGAGTCTATTTTGTCAGTCCTAAGCTCTCTGTTTTAATGTTAATGCTGGTCAGTTGTGCCTGTATTCCAAAGGGAGGAGAGTATAATGTCTGACCCCCTCTTCTGATCAGGGCCTGAACTAGTTTTTCAGGTTTACTTTGGAATGTCCTTGGCTGAGACAGTATTCTATTCAGTCAGTTGGGAGTGAGGGGAATAGCTTAGAGTTTTATTTTTGGCTTACATCAAAACCAATGTTATGAATAATTTTTTTCCTTCTGAGGCCTCTGTTCTGTTCCATTGGTTTATATCTCTGTTTTGGTAACAGTACCATGCTGTTTTGACTACAATAGCCTTGTAAGATAGTTTAAAGTAATGTAGTGTGATGCCTCCAGCTTTGTTTTTTTCACTTAAGATTGTCTTGGAGAGGCAGGCTCATTTTTGGTTCCATATGAAGTTAAAGGTGGTTTTTTCCAATTCTATGAAGAAAGTCATTGGTAGCTTGATGGGGATAGCATTGAATCTATAAATTACTTTGGGCAGTATGGTCATTTTCATGATATTGATTCATGAGCATGGAATGTTTTTCCATCTGTTTGTGTCCTCTCTTATTTTCTTAAGCAGTGGTTTATAGTTCTCTTTGAAGAGGTCCTTGACGTCCCTTGTTAGTTGTATTCCTAGGTATTTTATTCTCTTTGTAGCAATTGTGAATGGGAGTTCACTCATGACTTGTATCTCTGTTTGTCTGTTATTGGTGTATAGGAATGCTTGCAATTTTG